ACTATACTCCTTTTAATACACCCAGACCTCAGATTTGCATTTTGATCAACCCCATCATGGTGTCGCTTAGTTAGTTATAGTAAGTTAGCAGCCAAATAAAACGCCTAACTCCTTTCACAAGTGCTGATTTGAATCCTATCTCCCCTGTGCCAGAGAGTTAGGTCTAAATATAGGAAATCTCCTTTATATCTACTGGGTTGCATCTTGGGAAATTTAACCCATTTTTCCAGCGCGTGGAAATCACTGGGATTCTGATTCTGTGTCCCTGGCATGGAGGACCATGTCTAGTGTGGGCATTGCGACTCAGAGCCTGGGCTCTGACATCATGGCATCTGAGTCTCCAGTCGTCACTCGCTGGCGGAGGGTCCTTGGGCAAGATACTTAGCCTTTATAAGCCCTGGTTTCCTCGTCTGTGAAATGGAGGTGATTAATACTAATACTCCCCTACTTGGAGGATGTAGGGTTAGAAGACTTTAATGAGAGCATTCATCGAAAATGCTTGTTAGTAGCACAGGGGCTGGTAGCAAGCACTCCTTAGCTGCCATTCTCGTGGCGATCATAACCACGGCTCATTCACTTCCTCATCCTTTTAAAAATGGCTTTTCTCACCCAGAACCCCCCTGGCCTCCTCCTCGGCTTATAGGGTCCCCTCAGCCTGAGACAGGCTTTCTCTGCTCTCACCTGTCTATGCTCAAAACCTCTGCAGTATCTTTGATGCTCTCCCTCTGCTGGGAGGGACCTCTGCTGTGTCCCCCTACCTGGGAGCTTCTGTTGGCCAATCTCATGAAATTTACTTTAGAGGGGCGCCCGGGGGGCTCAGTCGGTTAAGCATCCGACTCTTAGTTTGGGCTCAGGTCGTGATCTCATAGGATCTATCCCTGCATCAGGCTTCTACACTCAGCACAGACTCTGTCCCTCTCCCTCTGCTCCCCTCACCCCCAACCCCCACACGCCCTCTCTTTCTCTCTCAAAATAAATAAAGATCTTAAAAAGAGGAAAGAAATTCATTCTGGGGCCCACCTTCTATTGGGCTCTTTGCATTTTAATTTCTGTCATTTTGGCTGAGGGTTTACTCCTTCATTTCTCTCTTGTCTCTATCTTCTCCTGTAGGCTCCATCCTCTTCCTCTCACCCCCGCTGGCCCTTCCTACCCACCCAGAAGCCCACCGCCCTTCCACACCCGGTGCCACCTCCCCCTCTGGCTCCATCCCCATCCTTCCCTTACTTCCATGCTGCCCTCCAGCCACACAGCCTGCTCCAGGCATTTCCTCCTTGTCCCCAGTGGCCCGTCTTCTGTGACCCTGAGCTAGACCCAGCCCCCTTTATGGCCAGCCCCTCCACAGCCCAGAGCTGTCACGGAGGTTTAGGGCCAGGCTTAAGGATCCAGTGGACCAAGGTTGAAACCCAACAGTATGACCCCAAGCTAGTTGTTTGGCTTTCCTGTGGAAGAACCAAATGCCACTTAGTTTGAATGAGGCTAAATGAGAGAAGTAGGTAAATTGCACGGAGAATTACAGCACCTGGGACAGGTCCCCTCCTTCTTCCTCTAAGAGGTCTTCCGGGAGCTGTATCGCAGTTTCCAGGGGCTTCTCCCTCCCGTCAACGTTAGAGCACAGAACGTTTTCAGGTTTCAGCCAACACACAATCACATAGGGGACCTACAGCTCCAGGTTCATGATACGTCATTTTATGTTGTTGAAAGGAATGTTAAAGTGTTGGGTTTTCTTATTTTTGCAAGAAAGACTCATAATGACCCCAAGCTTGGGCAAGGTGTCGTCAGTCAGTTTAAAGAAATATTTGTGGAATTAATCTAAACCCCGGCCACCAGGAGGCCCCCCTGGAGGCCCTGGCATGGTTTCTAGCATGTCTGGCTAACAGTGGTTTCTTCTCCTCCTCGCAGCGCATACTACTGACTGCCTCTGTGAACCCCCTGACCCTTGACCACCTCCAGTTCGGCCCCTTACCATGTCTGTTGTCATTTAACCTTTTTATGACCCTTATAATTCCATGCGGAATGCAGGCACCCTCTTAGGGCCCCAGTAAATGTGGGGGCTTTGGCCAGAGGTCCATCCGCAGCCAGGATCCCTCTGAAGGCTCCAGGGAAGAATCCTCCTTTGCCTCTCCCTAGCTTCTGGTGGTCGCCCCCATCCTTGACGTTCCCTGGTCTATAAGTGATTCACTCCAGTCTCTGCCTCTGTCTTCACATGCTGTCCTCCCGTGTGTCTGTGTGTCCCGTGTCTTCATGTGGCCTTCACATGGACAGCAGTCATACTGGACTTAAGACCCACCCTAACCCATTATGGCCTCATCTTAACTAATTCCATCTGCGAAGACCCTAGTTCCAAATAAGTCCACATTGGTCGGTACTGGGGGATTTGGACACGAACATCTTTTTTGGGGAGATACAGTTCAACCCACAACAGAGTTTAATGTTGAAGAGTTAAGTCTGTAGAGAGAAAAAGATTACATGGAAAAGCAGACTTCAGGAGCACAGCCCAAAGTCACATAAACCAGTTGTAAAAGAACATATCCTAGAAAAGGCTAGAAATAACCTATTTTGTGCAACGTGTACATACACAGGTACATAGGTATGTATTTTTTCCAGATAAAGACTCCAATGTAAAAGAACTAACAGTGAAACCCTTGGAGGACAGTGTCGGCATCTACCAGCATAATCTAGGGGCAGGAGAAGCAATCTAAGGCTAGTGTTTGTCCTTAACTACATAAGGTAGTCCGCAACTGGGAGCACGTGTAAGGAAGTATTCAGAACTCACTAGCAGTCCAGAAAATACAAAATAAAGTCACAGTGAAACGTCACCATACCCATAAGCCCAGCAAAAACGGGGCTGGCGGGGATGCTTTTGTCCATGGTGGAAACGTGAACCATGAGGGCCTTTTCAGAAAGCAAGACAGCGACCTTGTGGGACTCCTGATGAGAACAAGGTCAAGAAAGTTTTTCTGTTTCAACACAAGAGGGAAATGCGTTCCTTGCCTAACCATTTGATGATATTAAGGAAGTATCCTTAAAATTTTAGGTGTGATAATGGTATTATGGTTAATTTGTAAGTAGTCTTTTTTTTTTTCCCTCAAGAGGTTCATCCTGAACTGTTTATTAGTAAAATGATGTAATGATGTAATGTCTGGGACTTGACTTTAAGTAATCCAAGGAGCAAGGGGTTCAAGTGGTTGATAGTAGAAAGCAGGGGTCAGCACACTCACAGGCATGGGCCAAATCCCGCTGCCTGGTTTTGTGTATACAGTTTTCTTGGAATGCAGCCCCGCTCATTCTGCTACATATTTGTTTAGTATGTGCCAGGCTCCTTTTGTCCTCCAGCTTCTGCAGAATGGAGGACTTGCAGTGGAAAAGCAGACTTCGGGAGAACCATGTAGCCTGCAAAGCGTAAAATATCTACTAACTGGCCTTTTACAGAAAATATTTGCGAACCCTTGTCGGTAAGGAAGCCAGTTTGGCTGGACATTCATAAAGGTTGATGCTGGGGACTGCGTGAACGCTGATTGGATTAGACTCCATGTTTGTCGGTTTGGATCTTTCCATAATGAGAAGTTTAAAAAAAAAAAAGAAAAGAAAAAGCAACATGCTTTGACCTCGTGTATCCCATTCCTAGGAATCTACCTGTTGGAAACGAAGGCATCGATTAATAAGGATACATGTATAAGCATGTTGACTAAAATGGTTAAAAAAAAAAAAACAACAACCATACAGGGGCCCCTGGGTAGCTCAGTGGGTTAAAGCCTCTGCCTTCAGCTCAAGTCATGATCCCAGGGTCCTGGGATCGAGCCCCGCATCGGGTTCTCTGCTCCATGGGGAGCCTGCTTCTCCCTCTCCTGCTCCTGCTCTCTCTCTCTGTCAAATAAATAAAATCTTTAATTAAATAAATAAATAATTTTTAAAAAACCAATGCAAAACTGATTGCCTACCAGTATGGGAATGTTTGTATGAATCACACACCGTCCTGCACCATGGACCAGTACTTGTCTCTTTAAAGAATGGGCTAGAATTTTGCCATCCCGCTTGGAGAATTTTCCATGACACATTTGCAGTTGAAAAAGGCAGGATGTAGAAAAGTCTGTACTTGGCGATCCCATTTCTAGAAAACAGTGGCAGAATCGACCCCTTTGGTAGGTAGTGGTGTGTGCATGTGTGTGTGTGCGTGCACGCACGTGTCTGTGTGTGTGTGCGTGCGTGTGTGACACGCACAGCACATTCACGTGGCTCAGTGTGGAGTACCGTCTATGGAAGGAGAAGCACAGCAAAACAGGAAAAGGAAAACACCTATATTTAAACAACCGACGTGACACAGTCCCGTTCATGTGTTTGTGTTAAACTGTATTCGTGTGTACACACGATTTGCTACCTTCCAAAGAGAGTTAGGATTTTTAACGCAGCTGGAAAGGAGTGAATACTCTTAATGCCCTTTAAGTAAGGGAATAAAAGAGAATTTGGATAGGGTTGGAAGAGACCCAGGAGTGGGGAAAGTGAGAGGTAGAGTGACCCCTGCAGTCCTGGGCTAGCTAGGGAAGAAGTGTCCGTGGAAGGTTCTAGCGGTGAGAGAGGGGCGGCTGGATGGCCTTTGGGCCACAGCCGCTCCCTGATCTCAGCGTCTCTTCCTCCTGCTCCCAGAGAAATAATGTTTCCCTGGGGGATGAAAGGCATCCCTTTGTGCGGGCTCTAATTGCCATGTTGTTGTGCCAAGTGAATGAGTGGCAGGCAGGCACAGCAGCTGGGCACAGCCAATGCCAGGCAGCAAAGCCCACTGCCTTAGGACAGCCTGGGCCAGCTGGCCTGGGAGCGCTGCCCATCTCTGCCCCCCACTGGGGGCCCTGCCTGTATGGGGGCCATGGGGCAGAGGGGTCCTCGGGGAGCTGGGGAGAAGTCATTGCAGGGAGAGAATGGGGTGGGGTGCCTGGGAGGGTCTCGGACACTCCAGAAGTATATTCATCTCAGCCTCCTCTCCCCTCCCCCTCCCTCTTGTTTTTCAGACTGTCAGCATCAATAAGGCCATTAATACGCAGGAAGTGGCTGTAAAGGAAAAACACGCCAGAAATATCCTTTTGGATGTTGCTTGGAAGACCAACCCCGAGGCGGGTCAAATGGTGGGGACTGAGGTCAGGGCGAGGTGTCCTTGCTCAGCTGCGGAAAGGGGGACCCCCACAGTGGCCAGGCCTCCTGCAGGTTCGAGCAGCCTCGGTGGGCAGCAGCTGGCCTTTGAGACCACCGCTCATGGTGGGGGAGGGACCAAAGCCACTTCCGAACTCAGCTCTGTACAGTTTACCAAGGACCCCGCCCCTCTTGGGACTTCCCTTTGAGAGGATTCCTGGGGGCACAGAAGGGATTGTCACAGCACTCCAGACCCTGCACTTGGCCTGTAGGGGCCAAATGGACCACCCCTGTGGGAGCATGATTATCTCCCCTTCTCCTAGCTCAGAGCCAGTCAGTGGTCTGGGCTGCCATAGGCCGGCACCGGGGCTCGGCCATGGAAATTAGAGCCACCTCTGTGAGCTGGTTCCCCCCCAGTCAGCAGGGGAGAGAACAGGACCCTCAAGCCAACTTAGGGAGCTGGTGACTTGGAGGTTTCCAGCCCCCCACCACGCTGCACCCCTCCCCATGCCCTATTAGGCCCTCCTAATAGGCATGGGCTATTAGGGCAGCCACCCTCGTGGGGTGTGGCTTGGGAGGGAAGTGCAGGCTGCACCCTGGTTGTTGGATCCCTTGGGATCTGCCCTTGAGGTATAGAGTCCGAGAGCTGGTGGGCTGACCCCCCAGAGTTGCAACAGCGAGGCTACTGGAGAACCGGGGCAGAGCAGGGTGCAGCCCAGGGCCAGCGGAGGCTGGGCTTCTGTCTGGGACGAGCACCTGCCGCTTGCCTGGGCTCATTGTGGTGGCGGTGACACAGCCGGGTCAGAACAGCTCACGTGGAGGCCATCCCACCTCGGCTCCTGGAGGAGACCCTCCAGGTTCCCTGGCCAGAGGAGCCCCACCCCTCCAGCAGGATGCCTAGCCCATGGCAGACCGTCAGGAAGCGGTGCTAACAGCACATCCTGCTCTTTATTGGTGGGAAGATACTTTGATTGGACTTTAGGGCTTTGCTGCAGGATGGGGGCTCTAGGCACCCCAGAAACCTGGCCCAACAGTGAGCCTAGTTAGACTTTGCCCTTTTATCCCCAGAAAGGCACAGTCCCCTTGCTTTACTGAGTCAAGAAAAGCCCCAGTAGACTTTCTCAGGGGGAAAAGACCTGGTCCCGACCCCTGTCTGCTAAGAATACTGATCTGTCCGATTGAGATATGAAATAAGAGATGGTTGTCAGAGGTCAATGTGCTCGGGACACATCAGACCCTCCCAGGGAAGCTACCTGGAGTGACGGAAGGGGTACCACAAGAAGGTTCTGGAATCCCACCTCCGCAGCAGTCTGGCTCACTCTGGTGGGTCCAGCGGGGTCTCCATGAGCCTTCGTCCCCTTGTCTGTCAAATGAAAGACTTGGCCAAAGAAGATCTCAAAGGTCTCACGTTCCCACTCTCACCTTCTGTGAGTTTCTCTGCGTCACCATTTCTAGGAGGTGGATTAAATGTTAAAAGGCTCAACTCCGAAGGGCAGGATTTTAAAGCCTAAAGATATCACAAAACATTTATTCTTTATTGATTTTTTTTGGAGACCGTCAGCCACTCTCAATCCCAGCTGAATAAGCATTTGGGAGTCTGACGTCAGAAGTGCTGTTCAGATAGCCACTGATCCCGGGTGTCTACCTGCCCCCCTGCCTGCCCCCACCATATATCTACTCCCAGAGGACTAGGGACTGAGTCTTATCTATTTTTTTTATATCCCTGAGTGTCTTTTATAGTCCCTGATACGCAGTGGGTACATTAAAATGCTTAGGAAATCAAAGGACAGAAAGGTCTCCTTGTCTCTTTCAAGGTCACAGTGCCTGACTTTAACTCTGCACTTGCTCTGGCTTCGGTAAAGTAACCACAGTCTCCCCTGAGACGTCAGCCCAGGAGAGGGGTGGGAAGCTGTCCCTCTCTCCTCTCGGCTTCCATCTAGCCCGAGGCGGCTCTGCTTCAGGGGAGACTGTGCCGTTATTTCAGAAATCCCTCTAAGACCTAAAGCTGATGTCAGCTTCTAGACCCAGAAGTCTGGGTTCAAGCCCGCCCCCCCCACCCTCGAAATGCAAATTTCAGTCTGGGGAAGGAACTTGGTGATACCCTCTAGCCCGGAAGCAAAATGGCCTGTGTTCTGGATGAGTCATAGAGTTTCTGACCCGAGGCAAGTCTTTCTGTCCTGCGTGGCACCCCCCTTTCTTACCTGAATCTTGACAAAGGAGCCTGTAGTTCTGGGGAAAGACCTGCACTTGGACTTGATGGTGCGCAGTTGCTGGGTGTGTGAGGCCCATGTAAGCGCTAACTTAAAATCACGCCAGACCAGATGGACGTTTATTACGTGCACATCATGGCTGGGGTCCGTGGGTGTGCTTGGAATTGGATCTCAGGTGGATGTGGCCCCAGGATCCCACATAGAGCGAGTTCAAGGTGTTCGGAGATGCGTGCGCCTCTGAACGAGACCAGGAAGGCTTATGGTAGGGGTGAGGTGTAACAGTCATGTTAAGTTTTGGGAAAATGCTCCCAGTTACGGAATGACTAAGGCGGTGCAAGGTACGCCATCAGGAATAGAGTCATCGGTGTGTAATGGTGTCATCTGGTGATAGACCGTAGCTATGTGAGGTTGTCCGAGAACTATGTCGGATACCAGAAATGAATGTACGATTATGGATCTGACCCGAGATGGATGCCGATTAGCCTTCAATAAAGAAATCACAGAAAAGAGCAGAGTGCCTATTTGGGGAGGTGTCAGGTACTGCTTGGAAGAGGAGCCGAGGTGTCCCCACCAGGGCCAGGGCCCCAATGAAGAGCTGAAAGCGTGCCCTCGCATCTGAAGACTGGATAAGAAAGAACTTTGAGACACTGTAATGTGTCGCTAAAATATGAGCTGTCATTATTCCCCCAAAGGCCCCATCCCACCCTCAGGCTAACCCAGGGAAAGGGCAGAGTCTGCCTCCCACAGCAGAGCCCTGATTCCAGCCAAAGTTTCTACCCACTGAAAGGCAACCCAGGACTGCTGCTGGCCCAGAGCATGCTTGTACAAATTGGAAAAGGCCCATCCTTGCCTTTGTTTTCCATGACCCTCCCTCACCGTGCATACTGGGCACCCACCATGAGAAAGGGGCACAGACCTTTTGGTCTGTGGTCAACCGGCTGCCTCTCTCTAGCAACGCTGTCCTCTGCTGGAAGTTCTGCCACGTGTTTCACAAACTTCTCCGAGACGGACACCCAAACGTGAGTTCTGGGGCTGTAGGGGATGGCTAGGGGGCCAGGGAGCCATGTGGGGAAAGGGGGATCGCCGGGGGCAAAAGGGGCGCTGTTTACTCTGGCACAGAGAGGGGCAGCTGCCCCCTTCTCCTGGCCTTTATTATTATTGTTTTAAAGATTTTATTTATTCATTTGACAGAGAGAGACACAGCGAGAGAGGGAACACAAGCAGGGGGAGTTGGAGAGGGAGAAGCAGGCTTCCTGCCAAGCAGGGAGCCTGATGCGGGACTCGATCCCAGGACCTTGGGATCATGATCTGAACCAAAGGCAGAAGCTTAAGGACTGAGCCACCCAGGCGCCTCTCTCCTGGCCTTTAGGCTGATTAGAGGTGGACTTGTCTGTCTGGTCTGCCCTTCTGCCCACCCCAGCCCCGTCTTACGCCATCCTCTGTCCCGTTGTTTTCTTCCCTCTCCAGGTCCTGAAGGACTCCCTGAGATACAAAAATGAATTGAGTGACATGGGCAGGATGTGGGTGAGTTTGGAGATGCACCCGGGGACCGCCTGCCTCTCCTTCCCCAGGGGCCCCAGAACAAGGACTGCGGGACGGAATGAATTCGTCTCTTTCATCTTGCTTGGGATTTCTCTCCTAAGCGTCGAGGAGGGGATCAGCAATGGCCCCCAATAGGACTGTGATATCCACAGTCTTTCCTGGGGCCTCGGAAGCTGCAGGGAAGTTCTGGGGCCTGGGAGTGTCTCCTGCCAATGGCACCTCACGCCATAACACTCTCCAGGCATTGGGGTCCCTCAGCAGTGACTTGGCCACAATTCCTGTGTCTTTCTTCTACTGGTCCCATGCGGGTCACAGAACACTGAGAACTAGCATTCCCAATTCTTAATGCCAGTACCTTTTCTTTCCCTTTTTTCCTGAGAATCTAGGGATTCTCTCTGCCTCACGATGGGAGAGGAGGTCGGTGGCGGTATCAGAATCAATTAGAAGAGGTTTTTACGTACACGCTAGAATCTCTAGATTCTGCTGTCCACAGAGCGTGTGTGTTCACAGCACGGAATCTGCATTTTGAAGACTCTCTCGGGTCAATTCTGATACGTCTCTTTGCCCCCACTGGCTGAGAGCTCTGGCCCTTTCCTTCCAATTCTTTTTTTTTTTTTTTTAATTTTTATTTATTTATTTGACAGTCAGAGATCACACGTAGGCAGAGAGGCAGGCAGCGAGAGAGGGGGAAGCAGGCTCCCCGCTGAGCAGAGAGCCCGATACGGGGCTCGACCCCAGGACCCTGAGATCATGACCTGAGCCGAAGGCAGAGGCTTAACCCACTGAGCCACCCAGGCGCCCCTCCTTCCAATTCTTACCTGCATCTGTCTGCATTCACAGAATGTTAGCAATGATGTCATCCAGTGCACCCACTGCTGATAATACAGGCCCAGCGGGAAGCAGCCTTTCCTACGTCAGGCTAGTGGGTCTGAGCAAAGCTAAGAGTTGTCCCCTAACCTCCCAGGTGCATGCTGGAGAGCTTCTGCTTGTGTCTCTAAACATGGAAAGCATGGGTCTTCTCTCTTGTTAGAATTTGCTTGGTGTCTCTTTTCCACCCTTTTACTTTTGACATTTCTATGTTCTGTGTCGTAGAAAAGTCCCTTATAAATAGCATTTAGTTGAATATTGTTGCTTTTTTCATGATGGCAGTCTTTGTCTTTTAGCTGCACATTTACCCCATTTACGTGCAAGGTATTTTTAGATTTCTGTCTTCCATCTTAGCTTCTGCTGTTGGCCTCTTCTGTCCTGTTTCTGTTTCTCTTCTCTTCTTGTCTTCTTTCTATCGACTGGTTATTTTTTTCTCATTCCATTCTGCCCTTAAACTAGTTAGGAGGTTGTTTTTAAAACTCTGCTTTTATTTGTTTACTCTTTGGTATGTTATCCAATAATTACAGAATGCATGTCTAGTTTATCAAGAGCTAAAATTCATGTCTTTGGCTGTTTCCTCTGTAATGCATACCTTAGAATATTTTCACTCCATGCCCTCCCTCCAAATGGGTATGTTATTGTTGTCATGTATTTTAATTTTGGTTTTGTTTTTCTTTTTAGGTTCTATAAGATAATTTATTTTAATCGTTTTTATTCTGTGCTCGCTCTTTCTTTTCATCTGCGTTCTAATATCTGGGATCGCTTTTTCTCTGCCTGAATTACTTCCTTTAGTGAGAATCTCATGGTGACAAATAACCAATTTTACTTGTTTGGGAATGTCTTTATTTCACCCTCCTCTGTGGAAGATACTCTCCCTGGGTTTAGGATTCTGGGGGTAACGGTTATTTTCTCTCAGCATGGGGGCAATATTATTCAAGATACCCTTCCACTGACTTCTGGATTCCATTATTTCCATGAAGTTGGCTGTCAGACTCACTGTGCCTTCTTTGAAGCAAATCTGCTTTTCCTCTGGTCATTTTTAAGATCTTACTAGGAAGAGGTGCAAATGTATTTTGGGATTCTTTAGATTTCTTAAATCTGTGGGGTAATATCTTTTATCAGTTATGAAAAATTCTCTTTGTCTCTTTAACTGTCCCTTTTGCTCCATTCTGTATTTCCCCTGAGACTTTGGTTATGACAGTCTTTCCCTGCTCTATAACCCAGTGCCTTTTTTTTTTAAGCTCTGCATCCAACACAGGGCTTGGGCTTATGCTCAAGAGATCAAGAGTTTCATGCTCCACCAACTAAGCCAGCCAGGTGCCCCCTCACCCCATGTCTTTCAACCATGTTTCTTTGTTTTCTGCCTGTTTGCCTCTTAACTGCATTCTGGATAATTTCTGTAAATCTAGCTTTCAGTTGGGTCTAATCTGTTGTTAAACCTCTTCATAAGATTTATCATTTTATTTATTTATTTTTTTAAAGATTTTATTTATTCACCAGACAGACTACAAGCAGGCAGAGAGGCAGGCAGAGAGAGAGGAGGAAGCCGGCTCCCCGCCGAGCAGAGAGCCCGACACGGGACTCGATCCCAGGATCCTGGGACCAGGACCTGAGCCGAAGGCAGAGACCCCAACCCACTGAGCCACCCAGGCACCCCAAGATTTATCATTTTAATCTAGCCTTTATTTCTTGGAGTTCTTTTTTGTCCCCCAAATCTGCTTGTCATTCTTTTTTTAAGATTTTATTTTTTATTTATTTATTTGACACACAGAGAGAGATCACAGGTAGGCAGAGAGGCAGGCAGAGGGGCGGGGTAAGCAGGCTCCCCGCCAAGCAGAGAGCCCGATGCAGGGCTCGATCCCAGGACCCCAAGATCACGACCTGTGCCGAAGTTAAGAGTCGGCCACTCAACGGACTGAACCACTCAGACACCTAATTTTTTTTTTTTTTACAGCAAGTTTTAGGTTCACAGCCTCCAAACACGTGTAATGCCCCCGTTTATGAACATACCCTGCCAACATAGTACATTTGTTACAAGTGATTCAACTTCTCTGATAACATCATAATCATCTGAAGTCCGTGGTTTGCATTATAGTTCACATGGGATGTCGGTCGTATACTCTGCGGCTTTGGGCAAATATATCAGGACTTGTACCCATCACGGTGATACCGCACAGAATAGTTCCACTGACTCCAAAGGTCCTCTGTGTACCACCTGGTCATCCCTCCCCGCCTCCCCCAGCCCTGGTAACCACTGGTCTTTGACCCTCGCCACAGTTCTGTCTTTTCCAGAAGGTCATGGAATGGGAATCCTACAGTATGTCGCCTTTTCAGACCGGCTTCTTTCCCTTAATAACATGCGGTTCAGGTTCCCCCATGTCTTTTCAGGTCTAGATAGCTCGTTTCCCTTGTAGCGCTCAGTAATACTCCGTTGTCCGAAGGGACCACAGGTCACCTACCCATTCCCCAACTCAGAGTGTCTTGGTTGCTTCCACGTTTTGTTTTGTTTTTTAAGATTTTATTTATTTATTTGACACAGAGAGAGAGAGATCACAATCAGGCAGAGAGGCAGGCAGAGAGAGAGGGGGAAGGAGGCTCCCCGCTGAGCAGAGAGCCCGATGCGGGGCTCGATCCCAGGACCCTGAGATCATGACCTGAGCCGAAGGCAGAGGCTTAACCCACTGAGCCACCCAGGCGCCCCTGCTTCCACGTTTTGGCCATTATAAGTAAGGCTGCCGTAAACACCATGAGCTCTTCTGGTTTGGGTGTTCAACTCCTTTGGGTAAAAACCAAGGAGCGGCACCGCTGAATTATGTGGCAAAAGTAAGTTTGGTTTTATAAGAAACTGCCAAACCATCTTCAAAAATGGCTGCAGCATTCTGCATTCTCACCAGGCAATGACCGAGAGGTCCTGTTGCCCACATAGTGGAATTGGGTGTTATCAGTATTCTGGATTTTGGCCGTTCTCATAAGTGTGTGCTAGTGCCTCCGTGTTGTTTTAATTTGTGTTTCCTGGTGACATGTAATGTCGAGCATCTCTCCATTTTATTCCTTTGCTATTTTCTTTGTATGTCTTCTTTGGAGAGGTGTCTGTTAAGGTCTTCGGCCCATTTTTTAAAAAATCAGGTTGTTTGTCTTCTTATTGTTGAGTTTTAAGACTACCTTGTATGTTTCAGATAACAGTCCTCTATCAGGTGTGTCCCAGTCTGTGGGTTCTCATGCTCTCGACAGTGATTTTTCCAGACGTTTTGTAATTTTAATGAAGCCCATCTTGATGATTGGTTATTTCTCTCATGAAGCATGACTCTAGTCTCTCTCAAAAGTCATTGCCATACCCAAGGTCGTCTGTTACCTCCTATGACTTTCATAGCTTTACGTTTTATACTGAATGAACCGTTCATCTTCTGATCCTGGGGCATTTTCATGTGAAATAGGGTTGTCTTCGATGAGGAGCACAGTTTCGCTTTGTCTGCTCTCCACTACTTTCTAATTTTTCCATGATGAACAAGTACAATGTACAATTACGATTTTTCATAGAAAACTAATACATTAGGAAATAATCTGATCTCTGGCATTGATACTTTCAGCCTCCTCTGATGACCCCGCTCCCTCTGGTGCCCCTCGAGGCGTGTTTCGGGGTGGGGGGTTCCTCTAGTCTAGAGGAGGTAGAAGTCAGAGCTCATGTGGGAACCACAGCTGTTCAGCTCAAGAGTTCTTCGTGTCCCCCTCCTCTTTTGTGTGTAGGTAAGAGTCTCGAGCATCACTCTGCTAATTCCAGCGTCTTCCTGGGCACCCAGGATGTGACCGCGTGGGCAGATTCCACAGGAAGGCTTGTTTGTCCCCAGCTGGGATCTGTCCCATTTCAGTCCCCATCCCATGTAAAACCCTCTAGCTGCCCTCCGTCGGCTGGAATCCATCTGGAGGAGCTGTTTCCTCTGCTGTACTTAGAGAGAGAGACAGGAGGAAGGAAGCAGCCTGTGACCAGACTGTGATTACTCTGGGTGGGAGATTTAAAATTCTTACATCAGAAGCCTTGTCTAGAATTCATGCAAAGGAAGTTCTTGTGTTTGTACACAAGATTGTCCTGTAAGAACAGTCATTGAAATATAGCTTATAATAGAAAACATGCCTATGCCTAAGACGTACAGCGGTAGGGAGTTCGTTTGATAAATTACAGTACTCACTCAATAACAGTTTAAATAACAATTATATTTTTAAAAAAAGAAATAACAATTATATATATTGTTGTATGTATATATAACAATAAATAACTCAGTAACAATTTAAATATCATTAAAAATATCGCTAACCATAAAGAAACAAGAAAATTTGAAAAGGTAGGGAAAGAAGTGAAGTATATTAAGTTAAAAAATGGGCTCCATTTTATATTTGAGAATAAAGGTGGAAAACAGGATTTTTAAGGCAGTGAAACTATTGTGCGTGATACTGTAATGGTAGGTATGGGACGTTATCCGTTTGTCAAAACCCGTAGGATGTATCATACCGAGAGTGATTCCTGATGTAAGCTTCACTGTGAACAATGTTGATGTATCAGGGAAGGTTCGTCAGTTGGGACAAATGTCCCACTCTGGTGCTGAAGTTGACGAGTGGGGGGCGGGGCGTGGTTTTATACACGTGGAAGAAGGGGGTGTATAGGACATCCCCGTACTTTATTTGGGGGTACCTGGCTGACTCAGGGAGAAGAGCATGTGACTTATTTTTTTAAGATTTTATTTATTTGAGCGAGAGGGACCCTGAATGGGGGAGGAGTAGAGGGAGAGGGAGAAGCAGGCTCCCCACTGAGCAGGGAGCCCAATGCGGGGTTCCATTCCAGGACTCCGGGATCATGACCTGAGCCAAAATCAAAAGTCAGATGCTCAACTGACTGAGCCACCCAGGAGCCCCAAGCATGCGACTCTTACTCTCAGAGTCGTGAGTTTGAGCCCCACGTTGGGTGTAGAGATTACATAAATAATAAAACTTCAAAAAAAGTCTATTGAAATTGAAAAAAAAAATTAAATAAAATAACATGTACTCCAGAATGTTCACCATGATTCCTTCTCGTATTTAGATTAAGGGCAATGCGTTTGTATGTGTGCTTGTCTATATCTTCTAAAATTTTCTGCAGTGGCCGTTTGTTTCTTTCAGAAGCAGAAAAAAATATATTGTTGAAAACAGACGTCCTGGCTGTCAGTCTCTGCCCCAAATGTTAGTATTGATACCCTGCTTTCTGTTCGTTTCCCGAAAGGGCCACCTGAGCGAGGGGTACGGCCAGCTCTGCAGCATCTACCTCAGACTGCTAAGAACGAAGATGGAATATCACACCAAAGTGAGTCTGCCCCCCACGGTTCTGCCCACTCCTCCCCCACAGCCCCCCATCCCTCCCCACAGCCCCCCATCCCCCCCACAGCCCCCCATCCCCACCCCGGCCACCCCCGTGAGCCGAACTCTCACGCCTTTCCAGGAATAGGTTGGCCCGGGCCCCCGTCACTCGGGGAGCGTTTATATCCTATCCAGTAAGAGCAAGATGATAGGACAGCTGCTGCGGGACACGGGGCTGGGATTCTGGCCCACATCTTCCGCACCCTCTTCTCCATTTTGCAGAGAAGGGCCCCAGCCCGCAGGCTGCCTGAGGAAAATGTTTCAGAAGCATTACCTTGACTGTTAATAAAAATAGCCCCTTTTAGGTACTGAGTTCCCACCCAGAACCTTCTTTTCGGCCATCGGTGGCCTTAGACGGTATTTCTAAGGTGCTGAGTGCAGCTAAAACCATAATGTTGGGAATCAGGTGGCACGTAAGGGTATGTAGAAAGGGTCTGCTCGTCCAGAAGTGCCCGGGACCGTCATGGGGAGGAGGCCCACATACCTGCGGCAGTGAGTCACCTGGCAAAGAGGCCCCGGGAGCCTGTAGCAGAAGCCAGAGGCCTTCGGAGCTGATGCAGGGCTGCGGCATCGAAGGGGAAGATGAAAGGAGAGGGCAGAGGTGGAAGGTGGAGGGAGGGTGTGGATGGACCAGGGTGGGGAGGAAGGGGCTGCTGGCATTGGAAATGCCGAAGGGAGGAGATTCATCTCTAACGGCTTGGGGTGGGGAGTGGCTCTGAATCACAGATGCCACCCTGTTGTGCACGCCCGTCCTGCTGAAACCGCACCTTGGAAGGCGGTGTTCCTCTAGCCTAGGACCCGGAAACTAGGAGCCTGCTCCAGGGTCTTGCCTTGTTGCACAGCTCCTCGGTGATGAGGTGGGATTTGAACTCAGGCCCGTAGGGCATGAAAGCCCCTTCTGCTCCGTGGGCAGCCTTCCCTCTGCTCGTGTAGAGCCCGGTGCTGGCCGCAGCCCAGAACTGGGTCAGGTTCTGAAGAGAGAAAGGTGAAGGGACTTTGGCCCGGCCTCCAGGAGTCATAGTTGCTTGGGAGACAAGCCAAGCCAGTCCGATGAGGACCAGAACTGAGAGATGCCCAAGATGGTACAGGAGCTTGTAATGGGGTCCTGCGCCCAGACGCCAGCAACCCAGGCAGGCTTCTAACAGGCGGGACACCTGAGCCCACCCCCAGCTCAGGAGCTGTAACACCAGCAGCCCTTGGTCATCTCTCACACCTCCGTGGGTCCGGAGTTCCAGAAGGGCTGAGCTGGGCAGTTGCAGGCTGCAGGTCCCGCAGGCGGTCCCAGCCCGGTGCTGGCTAGAACTGGGACAGTGTGGAGCTGGCCTGGCATCTCCCTCCTCGTGAAGTCTCAGTGTGAGTGAGAACTCCCCTGCGGCCTGGCCGGGCTCCTGGGAGAACAAGGTAGAAGTGCGTGGCATTCATAGGACCCAGCCTCGGAGTCACAGAACATCCCTTCCACGCCCTGTATGGGCTGAGGCATCATGGGGGTTCCTGGATTCAAAGGGATGGGACAGGGACCACACCAGCCAAGGTGAATGTCAAAGTCACATTGTAGACAGCGTGTGGAACCGGAGAGGCAGTCAGTGCTGGACGTACAGTCTGCCGGCCTGCCCTCTGACCCCACAGTCCGTTCGCCGCCCTCCCTCCCTCCCAAGGAATACACCCACACCCCAGACCCCCAGATCCTTGTCTGCCACCTTGCAAAGAGAGAGGAGGACACAGTGGCCGTTCCAGGCAGAGGATCAGCCTCAGACAGAGGGCTTGAGGCCTAGCACAGTTTGGGGTTCCTGAGGGATGGGCCGCAGATCCACATCAGTGTGAGGAACAGGCTGGTGGTGGGGGGCGGTGACCAGGTAGGTGTGTGAGACCCTCCCACTCAGAGTGGAAGACGGTGAGAGCCAGATTAGAATGGTGGTCCTGGGACAGGCAAGAATGGTAGGGTCTCTCTGAAGACTGGCAGGAGGGGTGGGGGGGGCAACAGCTAGGGAGATGTGGGTCCCCTGGGAAGGACCTGGGTGATCAGAAGCAGCTCAGGGGTCCAGAGAGGCCGAATGAGGTCACGGGCGCTCTGGACTCTGAGCTCCGGGAGGACAGAGGACAGTTGTGTGTGTGTGTCTCCTCGTGTCCTGGGTCCTGCCCAGCATCTAGCCTGGAACAGGGGCTCAATCAGGACTCCTTTGATGAGGGACAGAATGAACCAGAACCTAGATCGGATTGAATAGCACACGAGGAGGGCTGATCCTGAGTCAGGAGAGAGAAGCTGGAGGAACGGGAGGACAGCTGGTGGCACATTCAGAGCGGGGAAGGGAGTGGGAAACAGGATGCTGAGGGATTCCGGTGATGTAAGGAGGAAGGCACATGCCAGGGTGGTGGTGTGGGGGCCAGGCACCCGGTTCGCTGGAAAGGGGAGCTCACCGCTCCAGCAGCAAGGATGGGGAAGGGGAACACGATTCAAGGGGACTCCAGCTGTGAGTCCTTCTCAGGGACATTGGTAGCTGGTCCTCGAACAAAGGCCCAGGGTCACCAGGTTTTGCCAGCGGTGTGGTGTCCAGACCAAGCAAGGAGGTTAAATATGGCCAGATGGGGGCGCCCAAGGAACTGACCGACTCTTGACATTCGGGAGCTGGGGTGGTGAGGCTGCCCACAGGAGCGGGCAGCCAGGAGGCAGGTGGTGGATTTCTGTCTTCAGAGCCCAAAGTGTTCTCCATGGAACTGAGACCTCCCTTGACGTCTGCACCTTTCCCATTGTCATGAGTTCCATCCATTCCAGACGGGCCGCACTGGGGAAAAGATAATGATACCGATGATCATGCCTAATAGTCTTTCCTGACTTTGGGGCCACATGGCGTAATGTTTTCCTACCTCCAGGATTGTTTCATGATGTTTCCCTAAGGTCAATATGAAAATGGGTTTGTCTTCCCTGAGCTCACAGTGGCAGGTTTGGGAAGTGGCCCGAGGACAGAGGGAAGCATGGGTGAGGGCCAGTAGCCATCACGCTGGGTCTCGCAGCAGGGCCAGCGAGCATCTTTAGAAGAATGTCCCAGAGCACGAATTGTTAGGGCCGAGCCCTGCCTGGCTCCCAGGTGTGGGAGGGAGTCTTTCCCTCTGATGACAGGTAGTAGCTGTTCTCTGCTGGAGCTGGTGAGGGGCTCTGTGGGCACCGACACGGCCCCCGAGAAGGGTGTTCGTGCTGCCTGAGCAGACCCATGAAGCCTGCTGCTGGCCCAGCCGGCTTGCCTACTGTCAGCCTGAGATGCTCTGTCCCGACTTCATTCCTCTGCCTCCCTTTCCAGAATCCCAGGTTCCCGGGCAACCTTCAGATGAGCGACCGGCAGCTGGATGAGGCCGGAGAGAGCGACGTTAACAACTTGTGAGTGGCTGTGGACCCAGCGGGGAAGAAAGCTCCACGTTACCCCTCTAGCTGGGGTCAACGGGTCCTGGTGGCAAGGGCAGTGGCTGGGCTGTTGGTGCCTTATCCAGAATCCCTCCCAGGCTCGAATGTGTCACCCTCTGCCCTCCCCACCCAGCATGGCACCTGCCCTCCCCTCTGCCACCGTCACTGTGGAATTCACCCTACATGATCTTCAGATGGCCTTAAGACCCACGTGGGTGAGGGCTAAGGTTCAGGTGTGTAGCAGTGGGTGTGTGTGCGTGCACACGCGCACACAGAGTCAGTGACAGAGCAGGGCAGAGGGGACTGAGGAGGGGCTGGCCTCAGACGTTGGAACATAACCTCTCTCTCCTCTCGTGTCCAGTTTCCAGCTCACAGTGGAGATGTTTGACTACCTGGAGTGTGAACTTAATCTCTTCCAAACTGGTGAGTCTCTCCCTCCCATCTGACCCAGGCTCTCATGGGAATTGCCTAATTCCAAGCTTTATTCCCAGCTTGGACCAGCCATCCTAGCCCCCTTCTCTCTCCAAGGTTGGGCCGCACAGGCCAGGAAATGGGAATGTCCACACCCTATCTCCGATCTCCTCGTCCCTGGCGCGGGGAGGGGCAGGAGCTCACGGGTGCTTCCAGAGTCGGTGATTGCATTCCGAGCGGAACAACCGTGCTGCCCACCCTGTAGGCCTCCCAGAGCCCAGAGGCGGGTCTGACCTCTTTGATAACCTTTGGACGGTGACCCCAGCGCTGGCCAGTGCTCAGTCTGCCACCAAGCTGGGCTGGCACTCGGGTTGGATGGCTGCTCAGGATGGGACGCTGCCGTGTGCCGTGTGGCCGGCAGCTAGGGTCGACCAGCTGGTCGAGTTGAGCTGTTGGCCAAGTCCATGCGAGAGGCCCACGAAGCCCCTTTCCACTAGCAAGGGGAGTTGGGTCACCCTTCCAGTATCCCTTCGCTGAGGGTTTCGGTGCCTCCCGGCTGTCAGCCCCCAACCCTTCCCCGACATGAATCAGGAAGGAAGCAGTCCCATTCCCTTCTCTCTGGCGTCCTGTCTTCCCACACCTACCAGCATGGCCCCCCTTCTCTCCCGGGGAAGAGTAGAGCCCGTTTTCTAAGATTCAAGATGCTCCATGACAAGTATCCAGCCAGCGCTGGGCCAGGGCAACCAAACGATCGGTTCAGTGCTGGATGTGGGAGGCGATCACCACAGCCAGCTGGGAACCGTGGTTTGTAGGGGAAAGAAGAAGGTCCTTGGCCTGCTAGCAACCTACTTCTACAAAAGTTGATAGAGAAGTAAAAATGAAACACCAAATAGAGTCCCTACCTTAAGGTGTTCCCAGCCAGGTAGGAGAAATGGTATGGATGCTTTTTTTTTTTTTTAATTTTTTTAAAGTTTGATTTAATTATTGTAGAGCGAGAGCACAAGCAGGAGGGGCAGAGGGAGAGAGAATATCTCCAGAAGATCCCTCGCTCAGCATGGAGCCCAACTTGGGGCTCGACCCTACAGCTCATGCGATCGCGTGACCTGAGCCGAAACCAAGAGTCGGACGCTTGACCACCTGAGCCACCCAGACGCCAGTACATGGCTGTTCTTATAGGCGTGGATCACTTGTATCATCATCACTGGATGCTGAGCTCCCCCCCGGAATCAGGAACCATGTCCTCCTCATCTTTGAATTACTTCCCTCCGTTCGAGCCCGGTGTCTGGTACATAGCAAGTGCTCAGCGAAATTCAGAAATGTGTGCTTTGGGTAAACAGCAGTGATGAAAGGATAGGGGGCCAGTGTTCGTAATCAGTATCAGTATCCAATCCAATGCCGTGGGCCTGTCGGGAGTGAATCAGCCACTTTTGCTAGAGTGGAGCTACCCCAAGTCTTGGCGCAAACCCCAAGATCGTTAAGTGCTGGTGGCTTTCTTGCCCCTGAGCCAGCATTGGTTCGGAATCAAGAGCCCTCTACCACTGGTCTCCCCCACTCCCTCTCCTGTCCCCAGTTCTCCACTGTGTGCTGCAGAAACCAAGGCAGCTGGTATGGGAAACAGTCTCTCCAGCTTCTGAGTTCTAGTCTGTGACCCTGTGAGGTTCCCACCCATCCCCTCAGGTACCCTTGGTTTTCAGCTTTGGGAAACATGAGCCAATGACGCTTATTTCCAGCACTTGCAACAGTTCTCCAAGAGTGGTCCCTGGACCAGGAGCATCAGCATCTCCTGAGAAGTTGTTAGAAATGCAAAGGCCCAGGTGCTGCCCCAGACCTCCTGCATCTGAATCTCTGAGGTGTGGCCCAGCCAGCTGTGTTTCAGCAGCGCTCCCCCTCCCCAGCCAGGTCTACACTGTCCAGTATGGTCACCACGTCCCATTGGTAGCAGTTTAATTATATTAAATTAATTATATCACATCTATTTAAATAAGTTATAATTAAATAACCTTTAAAAGTCAGGTCCTCGGCTGCACTGGCCATGTTTCAGGCACCCGGGAACCCCATGTGACAACCACAGTGGGCAGCTCCGGGAGACACTTAAGTCTGTCGCTCGGTGTTCCTGGCTGATTCTGCTTCGCGCCCAGCTAGGAAATAACAGCGTTCAGCCCTGGCTGCATGTTAGAATCACCTGGGGGGGGGGTTGATACCTACCCATGCCCCAGCCCTACCCAAGACCAATTAAAACAGAATGGGAGGAAGGGGAGTTGCAGGCAGACATTAGATTTTAAGTTTCCCCAGGTGATTCTAATCAGTCTCAAAGCCAACACCGAGAACCCCCGCGGTGCTCTGCGTGTCCCACCACACTGCCCTTGGATATGTACCAGACCTTTTTTGAGGAACGCACTCTTAGAATCCCCTGCGTTTTACAGAAAAGCGTCTGGAGGCACAGAGAGGTTGAGCAACTTGTCCACGGTCACACTGCTCTAGATGTTACCGGATGCCAAGGGGCATTCCTGGAAAGCGACAGGCAGGCCGGAGGATGGAGCCGTCTGTGATTCCTTGCCAGAGCGGAGCCCAGAGAAGCCAGTGGACTTGAGGATGGCCGCCTTGCGGTGACAGCTGCTTTTAATTTGTGTCAAAAAGAAAAGCTGCTTTTTAATTAGAACTATTTGGGTTTTGTTTTTTTTTTCTTTTTTTTCGGCTGCCAGAGTAAGCCAGTTAACAGGGATTAGTGCAGTCAGGGAAGGCTGAGCACAGCCACTCTGGGCTTTGATCCGGGGCCGTCCTGCTCGCTGATTTTTCTCGCTGCTGCCTGCCGTGGTCTCTGCAGGTGGTGGGTGGCCACTATGGGAACAAGTTCAGCTCCAGCCAGTGGTGTGCACACTGAGGGTCCACGGCCAAGCATCTGGCTGCTTGATTTTAGAACAAGGGGTACGGGGCGCCCAGGGGGGCACACAGTCAGTTGAGCATCCAACTCTTGGTTTCGGCTCTACTTGTGATCTCAGGGTCCTGGGATCGAGCCCCGCGTCGGGCTCTGTGCTTTGCAGGGAGTCTGCTTGAGAGTCTCCTTCTGCTCCTCCTGCTTGTCCTTTCTCCCTAAAATAAGTAAATTCAAAGAAAAGGAAAGAAAAAAAAAAAAACAAGGGGTCGGGGGCAGAGGGTAATGTGGAAGGGGGTCTTCGGAGCAAGACAGGGAGGGAGCAACGTGCCCGTCTGGAGCTCGAGCGGGTGGAGGGCGGTGCTTCTGCTGACCTGCCCCCCAGGGACCAGCGGCAGCCTTTGATCCTGACGGTTCATCTTTCTGGGACTCGTGCACCTGTCCCCTTCTGGTGTCCCAAGACCCTGTGACAAGCCCCTAGGAACCCAGGGCTGAATTACTCCCTCCTTCGTGTTCTGATCAGTGTTTGCCGTTTTCCCGTGTGATTGCCTTCAGGGGACTCGCCCTGTTTCCTCCCCTGCTGACCTGTCCCACGGGGGTGTTGTAAGGGATAGCTGCGTCTGATGACCTAGACCCCTGCCTTCTGCTGCTCTGAGAAAGTCACCTGCAGTTTCCTATCCCCTACTGCCCGTGTCGCCTTTTCTTCCCTAGTGTTCAATTCCCTGGACATGTCGCGCTCGGTGTCCGTGACGACAGCCGGGCAGTGCCGCCTCGCCCCGCTGATCCAGGTCATCCTGGACTGCAGCCATCTGTACGATTACACCGTCAAGCTCCTCTTCAAACTCCACTCGTGTGAGTACAAGGGGCCACATCTCCTCCAGAAGGAGGATTACAGCGGAGGCTGTCCCTTCTGTGTCCTTTCTGCCGCTGCTCCCGAAGGCCCTAGAGCTCCCAGCCCCCTTGAGAGTGAAGAGCAGGGCACAAGCTTTGGTGTGCCCATGGAAGCCCCTGGTTCTCCATAGCCGTGTCCTGGGACCGTCCCCGGCTCCCTCCACCTCTGGCTTTACCACGTCCCTGTCCGCACATGTCACGTATCACAGGACCCACACGAATGATGATACCAGACCCGGCCTGGACCCAGGGGCACCCGGGCAGTGGTGTCCAAAGTGTTCAGCCACACAGCTTCTCTGTACGTGTGGACTTTGTGGGGAAATAGAAAATGTAAAACAGCTGCTCTCGTACCTGAGGGGCCGGTCCCTCCCCAGCCACAGAACCCTGGGATGTGTTCGTAGATTCTCTCTGGGAAGCTACTGTAGAACTCTTATACTTTCACGTGCTTCTTGTTCAGGACAGTGTATGTGGGTCCTCCTCCTGCGGGGTCGCTGCGGGTGGGTCCAGTAGGTTGGGGGATCAGCGTGGTGGAACCATCTCCCAGGTGAAGCTGATGTGGGCGGTTTCTGGGTCACACTCAGAGGCTTTCCCCATGAGGGATATACACGTGCAGGAATGTATGGATGATGGAGAACCGAGAAAATTCAAGACCTGAGTGGATATTAGCAAGGCATTATGGCCCTGGCAAAGGCACAGGGATGAATGTTGGCAGACAGGGACAAGGATACTCTAGAACCGTGGTCTCAGAGAAGTGGGTCTGATTATCTCAGGGGCGGATGGGAAGCAGCATCATCCAGGATCATTTCGGGGAAGGGAGGTTGGAATTGGATGTTTAAGCGATAGGAAGGCTTTGGAGCAAGTGATTGTACCCAGAGGGACAGAGAGTGGACTGAATCCCAAGGGAAGAAAGGCAGTCGTCCTCCCCAATATATACTTACCTAAAAATAAAGGTTTCATCTTAGAATAGTTTTAGATCTACAGAAAAGTTGTGAAGATCGCTGAGAAAGTGCCCCCATGCCCTGAAACTAGTTTCCTTTATTATTAATACCTTACACTAATATGATGCGTTATGATGCGTTTGTCACAACAAATGGACCAATACTGATAAGTTATTTTCAACTGAAGTCCATACTTCATTCAGATCTCCATGGTGTTTACCTAACGTGCCATCCAGGACACCACATCACACTGACTCGTGTCTCCCTGGCCTCCTCTTGGCTGTCACAGTTTCTCGGACTTGCCCTGTTTTTCACAACTTTGACAGTTCGAGAATTGGTCGTGCTCTTGTAGAATGTCCCCTGATTTAAGTCTGCCCGAGGTTTTTCTCATGACTGGACTGGGGGTAAGGGCTCTAGGGAGAGAGGCCACTGAGATAAAGTGCCATCGTCACCTTCTGTATACTGGGCATTTTGAATTATGTTAAACATGTACTTCTTTGTACCAAATAAATGTATCTATTCAAAAATTCCTAAAATGTACGTTTAAGGAATAAAACAAGAAATAAAGGGATCACTGAGTTGTGATCTGTCGTTGAGGTACGCAGCGTCACGCATTCTAGGAAGAAGGGACCTCAGAGAACCCGCCCTGTAGGGGAGGAGGCTGGTCTAAGAGTCCTCTTGCCATTGGCCGTGACCAAGTGAGCACTGGATGGGGATCTGGAGTATTGTCCTACAATCTTTGCCTTCTGACAGGCATCCTCTCAGGCAGGCTCTGTGGGTCCCTCACAGACTAACGTCTGGACCGACCAGTGCGCGTACATCTGGGAGATGTAACTAACTGGACCGACCCAGTGCACGTACATCTGGGAGGGCCACCCCTCTGCCACCTGCTGGGGGTCCATCCTGCTGTTTGGCGTCTACTGTGGGGCACAGCTTCCAGTCCGCTGCACCCAGAATGGCTCATGCTCCAGGGACAAATGGACAAATGTGGAGGATAAGCGCCCTTCGACTCACCACAGCCCCTTCTGGGCCCCTTTGGTCACCAGTCCCTGTCCCTGGGGCAGCTCGAGGCCAGGAATGCCCGCACCCCCTGTGGGGCTGGCCACAAGCCCCCGCATAGTTGGTCTTCTCCCTCCGGAGCTCTGCGTGGGTTACCTTCTCACCCTTCCCAATTCCCTTCTCACCCTTTCCCAATTTCTTCCAGGTCTCCCAGCCGACACCCTGCAAGGCCACCGGGACCGCTTCATGGAGCAATTCACCAAGTAAGTGGCTTGAGTGAGAGAATCAAAGGCTGTAAACACCCAGATCTGTATGTCTGGCTGGCTGAGCCTTGCCTCTGAATTCCAGTCTCACGCATCCGATGATCTGTCTTACATCTCAAACCGAGCACTGGGTTTTCCTCCCCCAGACTTTTTCTCCCAGGGCATCCGGGTGGTGCAGTTGATTGACCGTCCAGCTCTTGGTTTCAGTTGTGATGATGGGGCTGTGGGATGGAGGCCCTCGGTGGGCTCAGCGCTCAGCAGGGAGTCCGCTTGAGAGTCTCTCTCCCTCTCCCCCTCTCGCTCATGAGCTCACTGTCTCTCTCTAAAAATCAGTACATTAAAAAAACACAAAACTTTTTCTCCCTGGCCTTTTCTATCTCAGTAAATGCTACCACGTGCGTTGAGGCCAGAGATCTGGAACTCACTGTCTTCCCCCCTCACGTCCAGTCCACTGGCACATGTTCTGCTCGTTTATCTTGGTTCCGATCGTAGCTGGCATCTCTTGGGCTACTGTCGTTTTGTGCCCAGACCCTCCAATATGGCAGATGCCCTGGGCTTCCACTCCTGCCCCCTGAAATCCCGTCCCCCACCCCAGCCGTTAGAACAACCTTATAAAGACGTCATTCCCTTGGTCAGACGGTGGCTTCCGATCACACTGATAATCAAATCCAAGCTCTTCTCCATGGTTTACAAGGCCCCGCTTGCCGTCTCTGACCTCGTCTTTAGAGCTTAGGGTGTTTCTCCCGCACGGGGTCCTTTTCCAGTTCTTAGAACGTTCTCAGCTCATTTCTCCATCAGGGCCTGCCTTAGCGGCTGCGTTCTGTCTCCTCGGCCGGCTCTTCTCCCAGCCTGGTGTGAGACAGAGAACCCAGGTGCCAAGAAGGGCGCTGGGGCTCAGCACTCTCTCTTTGACCCTCTTGTTTTACTCTTACTTTCTTCAGCCCTAACAACAGAGAAAAAGCCAAACCGCCAAACCCCCAAGCCCAGACGTCTCTTGCTGGTTCCCAGGCAGTAGTCAGAGGCCAAGTTCAGGGTTGTGCTAACCTCCCGGTTTCCTTACTCCATTTGAAAAGCCTTATATGTTTATTCTATAATAAATGACTTATTAAATCCTAGGAGACAGGCCCTGGGGCTGATTTCCTGGAATGGTAAATTCCAGTAGCTTATGAAAGCAACGCAGCCTATTACCGTTGGCTCCAGCCCAGAAACGGGGGGTGGGGGGGTGGTCAGGTGATTTTATTTCCTTTCATTTTTTTCTAGCTTATAAAAACCTCTCCCATGAGCTGCTCCCTCACTTTCTTGTTGGCACGGACCTGGCGGCTCCCTGAGGCCTTGGTGTCCCCAAATTTGGGGAAAGCACCAATGACCTCAGAGGGACAGTCCCAACTTGGGGTTGGAAGGGCTGGCATGAGACCCCAGGGGTTCAGTGTATTGGGCTGAGCTGGAGGAGACTGTGTGTTGCAGGGAGAGGGCACAGAGACCCACAATCCTCTTTCCTTTCAGGAAATCTGTCCTGTGCTCTCTGCTTCCTCAGCCTTCCATGTTTTGATTCAAAATGGGGACCCAAGGAGGAGAGGGAAATTTGCTTTCTTCGTTCCCATAGCCTCCAGGATTGGGACACAGTAGAAATGGATCGGTTTTCTCCAGCGAGGTCCTGATGAGTTAATTCGAGTTAATGCCTCTGTGCATGGTGCCGTGGCAAACCCAGCTCAGCGGGGCTTAGTCCCTGCGCTCTAGAAGCGTCTAGTCTAACTGGGGAGATAACACAGAGATCTAAAACAAAGGGATCTCCCTCAGGAATGAAGTTCCCTTCCCCATTCCTGTGGTTAGGACAGTGAATGTATTTTCTAAGCCCAACGTTCCCAGGAAGACACCCGCCAGGCAAAAGCATCGATTCTACAGAGATGCCAAAGTTTGTTCTAGGGTGACCCTCTCTTCCAGAGGGTTTTGCCCTTTGACTAGCTCTTTCTCATCACCACATAAGCAAGCACGGGCTACAGATAACCTCCCCCTGCAGCATCACAATTGAATCCCAGCGCCATGGAGGTCATCTCCTTGACAGCCCCGCCTTTGGGCTGGGCAGGCAGCAGGACAGCTGGGGAAGGGCGGGGGATGCTGCACTGTCCCCGACCCCGGCCCCCAGCACCCCTCAGGCCCTTCTCCATCCCCAGGTTGAAAGATCTATTCTACCGCTCCAGCAACCTCCAGTACTTCAAACGGCTCATTCAGACCCCTCAGCTGCCGGAGGTAAGCGCACGCGGGCCCGCGGTGGGAGCTGCTGGGTCCTGGGTGCTCTCAGATATCAGGGACGGGCGGGCCTGGCAGGTGACACAGTCTGAGGGTGTGTCCTCCGTCTTCAGAACCCACCCAACTTCCTGCGGGCCTCTGCGCTGTCAGAACACATCAGCCCTGTGGTGGTCATCCCGGCTGAGGCCTCGTCCCCAGACAGCGAGCCCGTCCTGGAGAAGGATGACCTTGTGGACATGGACGCCTCCCAGCAGGTGAGGAGCACCTGACTGGAACCTGAGGGTTAGGGTTAGGGTCATAGCAGGGGGTGAACCCCACGTGAAGCCCCTCGAGCTGCCCCGTACGTGCAGCAGAGAGGACGGGAGAGGCCCTGACAAAGACCCTTCGGCCATCACTGAGCTGGACCGGTCGTCTTTTTTTTTTTTTTTTTTTTTTTTATTTATTTGACAGACAGAGATCACAAGTAGGCAGAGAGGCAATCAGAGAGAGGAGGAAGCAGGCTCCCTGCTGAGCAGAGAGCCCGATGTGGGGCTCAATCCCAGCACTCTGGGATCCTGACCTGAGCCGAAAGCAGAGGCTTTAACCCACTGAGCCACCCAGGCGCCCCTGGACCGTTCTTCTAACCCAAGCGCTAGTCTAGACTCAGGCCCTGTCTTGTGGTCTCTAGGAGGGACCCCAGATGGACATGAACCCAGTTAAGAAATGGTCCCCTTTTTCTACACCTCACTCCTCTGACCCCCGCACAGAAGTCTCTAGATCTCTAACTTTGTCCTCACTCCTTTCTGGTCACCGCAGAATTTATTCGACAACAAGTTTGATGACATCTTTGGCAGCTCGTTCAGCAGTGACCCCTTCAATTTCAACAGTCAGAACGGCGTAAACAAGGACGAGAAGTGAGTCTGGGCTGGGCGCAGGCAGGCAGTGCAGAAACTGTGTGAAGCCGGTGGTCCCTCTGGCCACCCTCAATCAGGGCGGGACGCTTAGCGACACTTGGGCCCTGTAGAGAAGTGTCACGACCCTCAAATATCGTCCCCTGGAATCCCAGAGGGAGATTAGGTGAGGCTGAGCTAACCTGTGGGTGTTAGATTCGGATCTGGTAACACGGAGGGACTTAGCGTATAATTGATGGAATTTCAAAGAACTTCCCCCATATTAACACCAGCTCTCAACTTCCTCCTCTGCTCTCCCAGCTCGCATTTAGAAGGAAAGGGATGGAAGGAAAGCGCAGGGGAAGCAAACTTGTTCTCCTTCTGTTCCCAGGGATCACTTAATCGGTCAGCTGTACAGAGACGTCAGTGAGCTGAAGGCACAGCTAGAGAACGTGAAGACGGAGGTATGAGTCAGGCCCTGATCTGGTTCTGGGCTTCTCCATGACATGACATTTTCATGTGAAACTTGCATTGCAGAGACACTTGTCAGACCCCATTTTAAGGTGGGGGGTGCGAAATAGAAATGCAAATAGAAATGCGAAAGCCAGAAAGACCTGATCCTCCCGCAGTCTTGGTGGTGCTGCATTTCCGTCATTCCTACCTTGACAACGGCTTCTGAGCCAGTCCCTGTGTCCCTGTGGTACTTGGAGAGAACCATGATCGCCAGCTGGCTTTGAAGCCAATGGTGAGAAAGGCCTGTTCCCCTCCCATGGCGATCGGAAGGTCTGGTGGCTGTTTGCAGGGTCTGGGGTAGTAAACAGGACTGCCCTGCAGGCCCATGGCTGGCAGGAGGCTTCGCTCACAGGGACAGGCAAACATCGCCTCCTCCCCCATGCCAGCTTGTCCAGGATTGCTCCCAGGCCCCTCTAACAGACCAGAGCTCCCCTGATGTCACCCTTTGTTGGCCGGGTGGCCTGGAACGACCAGAAGCCTCCACTCTCGTGAGGCCCAGTCGTGGGCTTGTTAGGCACACGTGGGTATTTATTTGATCGGTCCTAGAAACCGGGAGGACCCGCTTCTCCTGCCCAGCCCAGCCCAGCCCAGAGGCAGGGTGCTGGGTCTCACCGCTGAGTGTGTCCCACAGAGCCAGCGGGCCGTGCTGCAGCTAAAGGGCAGGGTCAGCGAGCTGGAGGCCGAGCTGGCGGAGCAGAGGCATCTACGGCAGCAGGCAGCTGACGACAGCGAGTTCCTCCGGGCCGAGCTGGACGAGCTCAAGAAGAAGCGAGAAGACACGGAGAAGGCCCAGCGGAGCCTGACGGAGATAGAAAGTGAGTCCGTTAGGCTGGGGCTGAAGGTGGGAGCCGCAGAGTCATGCGAGGCTCGTGGGGAAGGGTGGGGCTGGGCGGCAGAGCCCCAGTCCCGCGTCCGTCCAGAAGAACCATCTGGAAGGACCTTGGTGTCACCAGTCAGAGGGGTGGGTGGGAGCCCAGACAGGGGAGAGCCCCACGGGCTCAGAATGTGGGGACAGGAACCAGGAGGGGACAGTAGGGTGCCTGCCTGGGGGAAGGGGTATCCGAAGGAGAGCTGGCCTAAAGCCAAAACACACCAAGTGTGCAGAGCTCAGGAGGCGTGAGTTAGTGCTGTGATCTGAATCCGGGGGTGGCGGAGGGGGGGCTTTTTTTTTTTTTTTTAAAGACAGCTGTCCAAAGGAGTTTATTTCAGTAGGATTTTCAAGGGCAAGGAGGGTGTCTGCATTTGTAAAAAGAAAGAAAGTTGTCCTAGGGACTCTGGCTTATGGGAAGGCAGGCACAGGGTCCCCAGCAGGGGACTGCTCACCTTGGCTCTTGACCACATAGGGAGAGCCCAAGCCAACGAACAGCGGTACAGCAAGCTAAAGGAGAAGTACAGTGAGCTGGTACAGAACCACGCTGACCTGCTGCGGAAGGTAGGACCCTGCCCCGTGCCGCTGGGGACACCGCAGCTCTGTGCCTCTGCCAGTTCCGAGCGAGGCACCATCCTCTCATGAAAACCACTGCTTTTTCAGGCTCGCTGGCCTTCCATTTCTTGACTTTCGATGCCAGCCCCGATTGGATTATCCCCCATCTTTCGTATTTATTTTATTTTATTTATTCATTTATTTTTAGGGTGAGATCAAGCGGGGTCAGAGGGAGGGGAAGGGTCAGAGGGAGGGAGAGAATCCCAAGCAGTTTCCATGCCCAGCGCAGAGCCCGATGTAGGGCTCAATCTCACAATGCTGAGATCATGACCCGAGCCAAAATTAAGACCCGACTGAGCCAGCCAGTTGCCCCTATTCTTTAAATACTTGAGCATCGAGCGTCTAAAGATGACAGCTCTCTTCTGGCTTCTCCCTGGGTAGAAACGTGATTTCTGTGTCCAGCTGTCTGAACACTGCCCTTTGTTCTGGAAGGGGGAGAGGCTGTCCCTGAGCTGTGCAGCCCGAGATGAGCCAGTACAAGACACTGTTCTTACCCTACAGAATGCGGAGGTGACCAAACAGGTGTCCGTGGCCAGGCAAGCCCAGGCGGATTTGGAACGAGAGAAGAAAGAGCTAGAGGATTCCTTCCAGCGCATCAGCGACCAGGCACAGCGGAAGGTGAGGGCAAGGAGGAGTGCGCAAGGGGTTAAAGGCTTGGCGCGGTGACACGGCTCCTGCCAAGCGGGTGCATCAGCAATGGCTTGCCGAGGGTGAGTCTAGGACGGTTGAGAAAAGTAAAAGCACCTGGATTTCAGAGAGAGACATGAACCTTTACGAGCACTTGGGGCCGGGAGAACACCCATGAGTTGGTGGGGGTTGGCAGGCAGGTCCATTGCAGTAGGACATGTCGGAGGGAGGAAACTAAATGCCTCACACTTAAGAGTCGTGGCTTGCGTGCTTTTCTGTAATTCAGAGTAGGAAATAGGGTCTATTTAATAGAAGTAAAAATTTCATGAAGCAGTTCTCCTCCTTATTCTATGGGTGCGTTTGGATTTTTTATTTTTTGCTCTGTTTATTTCATTTTTTAATTTTTTAATTAAAAAAAAATTTTTTTAAGACTATTTATTTGAGAGAGGTAGAGAGAGAGATCACAAGTAGGCAGAGAGGCAGGCAGAAGGAGAGGGAGAAGCAGGCTCCCTGCTGAGCAGGGAGCCAGATTCGAGGCTCTACCCCAAGACCCTGAGATCATGACCTGAGCCAAAGGCAGACGCTTAACTCACTGAGCCACCCAGGCGCCCCTTAATTTTTTTAATTTTTTTAAAGATCTAATTTTACAAAGGTTCGGGGGAAGGGCTGAAGGAGGGAGAGTCTTAAGCAGACTCTGCGCTGAGCACAGAACCCCATGCCGAGCTCGATCTCACAACCCTGAGATCACAACTTGAGCCGAAACCAAGAGTCAGACACTCAACAAACTTGGTGCCACCCAGGTGCCCATTTATCTCATTTTTTTTTTTTTTTTGATGTTAGCTGTGAATTCTAATGGGTTGCAACCTACTCTTTGAAAAATAGACTTATGAGAGAAATAAAAAGAGTGGTTTCAAGATGGTAAGATTCAGCATCATACCAGGTGTTGGGATGTCTGAATTAAAGATCCAGCTCTCGGGGCGCCTGGGTGGCTCATTCATTAAGCATCTGCCTTCGGCTCAGGTCATGATCTCGGGGTCCTGGAATGGAGCCCTGCATCAGGCTCCCTGCTTGGTGGGAAGCCTGCTTCTTCCTCTCCCACTCCCCGTGCTTGTGTTCCCTCTCTCACTGTGTCTGTCAAATAAACAAGTCAAAAAATCGAAAAAAGATCCAGTTCTGTTTCAATTAAATTTCAATTTAAAATATAAAAAGCAGTTTTATATCTATAAAAAAAAAATCTTGTTCTATTGAATTCAGTATTATAAGCAGAAGCATGACATTTAGGAAATGTCCCTGAAATTCTCCCTTCGACCTTCCCACTTAGCCAGAAGAAAATCTTCTGGAACACTCTGGATTCTTGCCTCCTCCCTCCCACTTTTGGTTGATGCATCCAACCTTGCATACAAGAGGGTACACAAATCTCCCGTTGATAACTTGGGGACTATTTTGAAGATTTTATTTTTAAGCCGTCTCTACGGCCAACATGGGGCTTGAACTCGTGACCCCAAGATTGAGAGTTGCAAGCTCCGCCGACTGAGCCAGCCGGGCTCCCTGATAGCTTAGGGATTTTTGTATGTGTTTTTCCCTGGCAACCACCACCCAGACGAGAGTGCTCCTGGTTTTTTTTGTCTTTCAGACTCAAGAACAGATGGAAGTACTAGAGAGCTTGAAGCAAGAACTTGCCACCAGCAAACAGGAACTCCACATCGTCCAAGGCAGTCTGGAAACTTCTGCCCAGGTGAGCATCACGTTCCTTCCCGCATTTTGTTCCCGTCGTGCTCAGCGTGTGCCTGGGGAAATGAAGGTGGAGACCTAGAGATACCGCCTCTGGTTCCGTGTAGCCTGCTGGCGGGTCTGGACTCCTGGGAAGTGGACCATTTACTTCTCGCTCTTGAACCCTGCCGACATTGCAGTCAGAGGCAAAGTGGGCCGCCCAGATCGCTGAGCTGGAGAAGGAGCGGAGCAGCTTGGCGCACGCCGTGGCCCGGCGGGAGGAGGAATTAGCAGCCCTACAGGAGCGGCTGGACCACACCCAGGGGGAACTGTCCCTCGCAAAGGCAAGTAACCAATGCCCACCTCGTTAGCGGTAGCTTGGGTTAAGGTAGCTTGGGTTAAGGTAGCTTGGGTTAAGGTAGCTTGGGTTAAGGATGCAAGGAATCCCAGCTGTGTGGAGGTGGACGCTGCTCGAAGGCTCTTGATGGAGTCTGTGTCCGATTCTCACCTCCCTGGGCCACTTCCAGGAATCAGCGGGCCAGCTCGCCAAGGACCAGCGGAGAACGCTGCTGGCGGAGGCAAGGAAGGCCGCGGAGCAGGTGGTCCAGGAGGCCCTGCGGCAGCTGGAGGAGCCGCCTCTGATCAGCTGTGCCGGCTCTGCAGGTAGCTGCCCCTTGCCCGCCCCCACGCGCCAACTCAGTGGTCAGTGCTGACGTCCAATCCCAATGACACTGAGCTCGGGGGTCCTCCGCCTGCTGCACGGCGATGCCCAGGCTCTGCGCTAAGATCTGTTCAGCCAGAAGCTCAGCCTGGGCGGTAGAACTTTCTAAAGCCCCCCAGGGGTGATACCACGGCTCTATGCAGCGGGTCACACTGATGAAACTCTCACTGGGAGCAGAGCCCTGATAGCGAGAGTAAGCACAGGGGGAGGGGGAGCCGACGGCCCTGCCGCTCTCTGAACAGAAGAACGTGACCTGAACGACGAGGTGGTTGCTCGGGAGCCTTGGGCCCACACGGGGAGCGTCTTGAACGTGGCGGGGCAGGAACGCAGAATTCCCATGCCGTCCTGGGCATGCACAGGCCCACTCTGCCTGTTCTGGAGTCCTAAGGGCGTGCGGGTGGGGCATCGGGCAGAGCCACAGAAGCTCTTGGATGAGAGAAGGGGCCTCAGATGTGGCAGGACAGCCAGGCCCGAGACACCGGTGGAGTCACAGATGCAGCTCCGAAAGGGCCCACTGAGGACAAGCAGGGGCAAGGAAACGCTGAGAGCTGACTTTCCCTATCAAATAGAAACGTCTGCGGGGCGCCTGGGTGGTTCAGTGGATTGAGTGTCCGACTCTTGATTTTGGCGCAGGTCACGGTCTCAGGGCCTTGGGATCGAAGCCCCGGTCAGGCTCCATGCTCAGCAGGGAGTTTGCTTGTGATTTTTCTGTCTCCCCACTTCCTCTGCCCCTCCCCGCCTGCACACGTGCACACTCTCTCCCTCAGATAATCTTTGGGGAAAAAAAAAAAAGAAATGTCTCCATTTGGGGACGTCCATGGCAAGGCCTGCTCTGATTCAGCAGGGAACCCATCTGTAGGGGAACACAGCGGTCTCAGAGGAAGGAGCTCACTGAGTCCCCAGTTTTCTGAGGGAGTGCCAGGAAACGGGGCAGCCGTGGGCAGATTCTGAGGAGAGACTTTGTGAGCTGGGCTTAGACATGAGCCAGTGGAACGGAAGAACCGGGGGGCTGGGGGGGGTCACACACACAGCTGACGCTACCAAGCGCTTGCCATGTGCCAACCGCCGTGGTAAGTGCTCCACACGCCTCAGCCCAGCGACTCCTCACTACGGTGCCGTGAGGGGGCCCCGTGACTCTGTTTCCACATGAGGAAGCAGGTGTGGACAGCCTGAGGTCGTAGCCACCGGTATGGATACACATGGGTGCAGTGTGACATGAGCCCTCATACTTCAACTCCTATGTGACAGTCTTTGGGGACCCGTGCCCAGAGCCACAGTGTGGGAACAGCTGTGTTGTGTGTCCAGCATGAGCCCAGATGAGCCTGACGGAGTTGAGGGTCTGGGCTCAACACTGAGGAGAGTCTGAGATCCTTGAAAGATGTAGCGGGAAGGCCCGGACTGGATTTGGGCAGGCCGTCCTGAGAAGGGAGAGGCTGACTCTGCGCTGCGGATGTGGTTGCCCTGGCTCTAGGCAAAGGGACCACATGGGCAGCTTTTGAGGTCCTGTACGAGCACAGTCAACCCTCTTCCCTCTGCCCCCCATCTTAGGGCAACTCCTGCAGGGCTCAGGCCACTCACGAGGGGGACTCCTCCATCACGTGCCTTCCCCTCCCAGGGAGAAAGCGAGTCTGACAACTCCGGCTCTGACTTGGCCCTGTCCCCCCCCGCCCCACAGATCACCTTCTCTCCAAGGTCAAGTCTGTTTCCAGCTGTGTCGAGCAACTGGAAGAAAGCTGGAGGCGCTATCTGGCCTGCCCAGAAGGTAAGAAAGGGGGCAACAGGGTCTGTCGCTTGGTGACAGCTGGGTCACGTTCAGAAACGCTGGCGTGTGGAAGTAGCGACGGGTTCCTCTGCACCAGGAAAGGGGTCTCTATATAACTGGTTGAGCAGGGAAGGAGGTAGGGAGGTAACACAGCCCTGAGCAACCCCCTTTAAACTCCTGGCAGCTATCAGTGGGCTCCTCCACTCGGTCACCCTCCTTGCCCACCTGACCGGGGACACCATGGCTTATGTGAGCACCACCTGCCTTCGAGCCCCGCCAGAACCCGCCGACCGTAAGTACTGGGGCCGGGGGGCCGGGCTGGGCAGCAGGGGAGGCCAGAGGCCTTCAGAAATCCTGGTCGTTGCATCCCCAGTGCTGACTGAGGCCTGCAAACAGTTTGGCAAAGAAACGCTCCTCTACTTGGCTTTCCTGGAGGAGGAAGGAACGCGGGAGAACGACGGCACCGCCATGAGGAGCTGCCTTACCAAGATCGCCGCCATTGCCGAGGTAGGAGCCGAGTTACTACCGGGGACAGCTAGTGAGTGCTGGTGATCTGCCTGGGACTCTGTGAGGTCCTAAGTCGGTTCTTCCTGCACTTTCCACTTGACTCGAGGAAGGGAGAGCTGGCCCTGAAAAATCTGACCCCTGAACGACTCTCCGGTTGTATGTCATGCGTTCCCTGTGTTTGAGAACCTGCTGTGTTTTTCACTGTGCTAAGCGGTATCAAAGAAGGATAAGCATAGTTTCTCTGTTTTCTAAGATTTGTATCTGGGTGAACAGGTTAATACCTAATGTGAGAGAACATTGTATTTATTGATTTAATAAAGATGCAGTGAGTACGTCGTACATCATGGGAAGTGTGTTGGATGTAGTTGTACAGGGACAAATAAGACATAGTCTCTATGGGAAAGGAAAATAAGAAAATCACCCACTTCTGTACAGTGGGATGAGAGCAGTGATCAGCCGTATTTTAAGAGTTCAGTACAAGGCATTTACTTAATTCCAAAAATGGGTTATAATATTAAGTCCAGGGAATGAAGAGATGAGGGCCAGAGTTCAGATTTTCATCATCCCTCATCTGAACTCTTATAATAGCCTTCTGATTAGTTTTTCTGCCTCTGGCCTCTTCTTTCTCTGATCTCTTCCAAAAACAGAGTTCTGATTATGATTCCTCATTTGATAACAAAAGTCAAATGATGTAACCTGATACCCAAGGACTGTCACAGTCTGGTCCTTATTCATCTTCCTGGGTCCCTCCCACCCGCCACCTATACCTTGCGGTGTTGGTGGCTAGCGCTACAGTGTACCTGCCTACCTGTCTCTTTCCCCCATGGGTCCTTAAAGACAGAGCCCATGCCTTTTTCATGTTGTCCCCTTGGTCCCTGGCATGATATCTGGCAAAGCAGATAAAAAGATCAGATGGAGAAGAAGGTTCGTACTGGGGAGAAGTGGGCAACGAGGTAGGGAATCGTGACTCTGGATGAAGGAAGACTACGGATAACGGTGAATTGCTAACCTTTCTTTCACTGGAATGACGTGATCCTGGTGGTATTTTAGTGTTACTAAATTGCTGATGGTGGCCTAGGGAATGTTACTCCTTTTGCTGGAGATATAGAGCATTTTCTCCAGGGCCGTGCAGAACTGAATCTCTGTACACACACGCAAAGGGTGTAAGACACCATGAGATGAGGATATAAGTTAATTTTACAAAGCAAAGCGTGAGAGGGAGATCCTGGGCGGGTTTCCTTTCTGGCAATAGGACTGACCAGATGTTTAGAAGCTCATCCCAGGACAGGACGTGGAAAATGCTTAATAAAATTTGGGGAGAAAAAAATGTTAATTGAATCTAAATTGGCTGAAAACTAAGGAAATTCTCAGAATCAGAAACCAAAAGGATGCAGGAGCTAGTGTTTTTTCCATCTCTTGGCCTAGAGCTTGGATTTTAATGGACGACGCTTACAGAGGAGAGTAAAGAAACAAAACCTAGACCCACGTAGGGTCAAAGTTTGGAATGCAGAGACTTCCTTCCCAAAACAGAACTCGAAAGGTCACATCCTGAGTGAACAGGGGAAAAGCCTACTCTGCTGGAGAGATCCTGTCTCAATCTTGGTTATGGAGTCAACATGGCCACCTAGGGAATTTCTAACTACAACCATCTATCGGTGGCTTCAGGGTCCAATTCTACTACCTGTATGGCCTGAAAAAGACCAAACAGAAAATTAAAGTAGTCAGGTAGTTAGGGGCCCAGGTACCTGGCAGACACAGATCCAAATGGTCTCTGAAGGCGTACATATACTTTGGCTCTAAACCCCAAGGAACTTTAAAAAATAAAGTCCCAAGGCACTTAAGTTCACCATAAATGCATCTGATATGTTAAAGAACTTTTTAAAAAGTATTAAGGGTGACAGAGAAGTAAGATATTTTCAAAAGTAACCAGATATATTCGAAAAACAACCACCGAACTTCTAGAAATGAAAACGACATCATTGAAAGTCACAACTTAGTATACAGATCCAACAGCAGGTTAAAACAAAGCTGAAGAAAGAATTAGTGAACTGGATGATAGAATTGAAGGAATTACCATAGACTGTGGACCGGATTTTATGAGCTGGAGTATAGAAATTAGATGTAGAATGTTTAATTGGGGTTCCAGGTGAAGATACTAGAAAAGTGATGTCCTTTTCCCCCCTAAGTAACATTTTTAGTTCTGTGTGTTACAGATTTTCATCTACACGTGCTTTTTCCAGCATTCTGTGTTTGAGTTTCTTCCATGCAGATGTGCTCATTTTCACTGCTCTGTAGCATTCTGTCGCATGATTACCTCTCAAGTTCTACTTCTCTGATGTAGTATCTGTTCATATTTATTTACATATCTATGATAGAGCTATATATCTATTGTTGGACGCTTGGGTTCTTTCCAGTTTGGGACTATCATAAATGTGCATACAGCACATAGGTCACTCTGGGGCCTATCTCCTGATGTAAGTTTCCCTGGGGATAGATTTACCACATTATAGGATGATTCTCACACATGGACTACTGAGCAAATGAGCAGTCCTAGGAAAATGTGTACAGTAGGATTCCTTTTAAATAAAAATCAAAACAGGGTGCCTCGGTGGCTCAGTGGGTTAATTAGCATCTGACTCTTGGTTTCAACTCAGGTCATGATCTCAGGGTCACGAGATTGAACCCCAAGTCAGGTTCTGCAGTCAGTGTGGAGTCTGCTTAAGACTTTCTATTAAATAAATAAAGTCTTTAAAATAAATAAATATCAAAACATACGTAGTTAACGTTATAGTGGGTTTTTTTTAAGATTTTATTTATTTATTTGACAGAGATCACAAGCAGGCAGAGAGAGAGGAGGAAGCAGGCTCCCTGCTGAGCAGAGAGCCTGATGCGGGGCTCGATCCCAGGACCCTGGGATCATGACCTGAGCCGGAGGCAGAGGCTTTAACCCACTGAGCCACCCAGGTGCCCCAACATTATAGTTTTTAAGGATGCATTCCTAAAGAGTTTTTAAAAAAGACGTAATAACCATTCTCCTGAATTCTGTGTTTATCTTGAGGTGGGGAGCAGGGAGGGTGGAGATGGAATTAGGGCAGACTACAAAGGAGATTTCAATTTCAAAGGTACTGACCATGTTTCTTAAGCTTTTCCTGAAGTTGGTGGTAGATACGTGGTCCTTTGTTCTTAGTCTTTAAACCATTTATACCTGTTTTATACTCTCGTAGGTATAACACATATTTTCAGAATTCACAGGCTTTGCCATCAGCCCCCAAGTTATCCCTGCTTTCATTCATTAGCAGTGGGACTGGTGTCAAGATATTTGACCTCTCTGAGCCTTGGCCTCCCATCTGTAGAACAGGACTAGTAACTGCCTCATGACTGCTGTGGACACGAAGTTTAGCAAGAGGCAGAGCGTCCAGTTGGAAGGCATCACCAATATTTGAAGATGTTTCTGAAATACTTCCCAGTGGGTGCCTGGGTGGCATTGTTGGTTGACTGACTCTTGGTTTCCGCTCAGGTTGTGATATTGGGGTTGTGAGATCGAGCCCCACATCAGGCTCATGCTCAGCGCTGAGTCTGCCTGAGATTCTTTCCCCCCACACCCATTCTTGCTCTCTCTCAAATACTCAAATAAATAAATAAATCTTTTTTTTTTTTTAAGATTTTATTTTTTTTATTTGACAGAGAGAGAGAGAGAGGCGCAGAGGGAGAAGCAGTCTCCCCGCCAAGCAGGGAGACCGATGTGGGGCTCGATCCCAGGACCCTGGGATCATGACCTGAGCCGAAAGCAGATGCTTAACCGACTGAGCCACCCAGGCACCCCATAAATAAATCTTAAAATAAAATACCTCCCAAGCCACAAATACAATAGACTGTGCAACTGTGGGGCAGGATCCAAGCAGCTACAACTGAGTGGCCTTGTAGGCTTAGGCAGGGATGGCTTTCTGGAAGGAGGGGAGTGGAATGTGAGGTTCTGGGGTTCACGCAGTGGCGAGTTCCAGACAAGGCCTGCACAGGAGGCCCCTTCGTGGATTCCAGCAATGTGTTACGTGATAGGGCCCTCCTCTCCTGCCTTCTGCCACGGGAGAACAGAGAGGTCAAAGGGTCATTGCAGCATTTGTGATGCTGTTCCCAGGAGCTCCTGCCCAGAGGCCTGGACATCAAACAGGAGGAGCTGGGGGACCTGGTGGACAAGGAGATGGCTGCCACATCAGCTGCCATCGAAACTGCTACGGCCAGAATCGAGGTATGGAAGCGTCTGGCAGTCTCCTAAAGCCAGGCTTTTGCAGCTTCCTTGTGGGGACATTGCGCATTGGATGTCTCTGACTTGTTCGTGAAGGCTCCCAAGGCCCCCCTCTGAGCCCACCCGAAATCCAAATTCCCCAGGATCCCCCAGGGATTAATAAGTGAGAAGACCCTCCCCTACTTTGGTGTTGGTTCATCCGGCCTCACTTGGGATAGGTCGGTCCACGGAGCTCGCTCAGGTTCCGTTTCTGCATGATGGGGCAGTGGTAATAGGACATGCCTTGGAGGGGTGTGGTAAGAGTTAAAGGATTTAATGCACATTTATCTTCGCGGCGGGCACCCGTGCAGTCCGCAGACATGGTTGTCCTGGGGAAGAGCCGAGTGGGCGGCACTGGAAAGGTCCCATAGCGTTCCTGGTAGAAGACTCAGTCTGCTTGCCTTGGTGCAAGTACCAGCCGGGGGAACCTGGGAATGGCTGTCCTCACCCTGCCTTCACTGGCAGGGTGCCACAGCCCTCAGAATTCTGTGCACACGGCAGCCTATGATGGACACTCACGGATGGTAGTGTCAGCCTGCCGGGGCTGCTTCTCACAGAAGAGATCAGAAGTCTGGATTCTTTCCCCGACTCACCAGGGTGTGGATGGGCCCTTCTGGATTTGAGTTTCTCAGCTGCCCCAGGATGTCGGACACAAGGTGTCTCAGGGTACCAGTGAATGCCCGGTACCCACCGCGTGTTGAGAAACCCTGCTTCTTTTCAACAGGAGATGCTCAGCAAATCCCGAGCTGGAGACACAGGAGTCAAATTGGAGGTGAACGAAAGGTCAGTCCGAGCCGTGTGGGGGCACCTAGGTGATGAGGATGAGTGTATCCCACAGTGGATTATATGAATTAGAACAGTAGCCGCCACGGGCAGCGGCCGAGTCCGTGTACATGTCAATAATGGTGTTCTTGGGGATAATACCGCCGTTGCATTTTAGGGGAAGAGAAACCCCGAGAATCATCATGTAACTGTCCTCAGTCAGGTCTCCCTACTCACGTGCCTTTCCGGGAAGGTGTATTCCCTCTGCCTTTCCCACCCCAAGTTTGCCTGTGTTTAGGCCTGAAAAAGAGAACAGATTCCTTCATTATTCTCGGTTTCTCTTTTGTGTCCCTAACTTTTTATTTATTTTTTTTCCTCCTAGGATCCTTGGTTCCTGTACAAGCCTAATGCAAGCTATTCAGGTCTTGATCGTGGCCTCGAAGGACCTCCAGAGAGAGATAGTGGAGAGTGGCCGGGTAAGCATGGGTGAGGAGCCCTGGACGGGGAGAGCAGACATCATTCACAGACGCCTGGTTCACCAAGAGGCTACATCTACTCGATACACTCATCCACATTCAGCGAAATCCGCGGGTGCTGCCCTCATCCCGTGTGCGCATCTGAGGGCACACTGCCTCTCACAGCCGAGCATAGATGCCCATGGAAAGAAGCTGGGGCACTGCCGGGTCCCCAAGGGGCAGTCAGCCTCAGCCTTCAGCTGCTGGGTCATTAACCCAGGCAACATCGTGGGGACCTGCTCTGGAAAGCCCATGTGCATTGCAAGCCTGGGCCCTCAGAGGAAGGGAGAGCTTTGGAAAATGGGGCAGATCGAAAGGGTCGGCCTGGTTCCCGACCTTTGCCAGTGGGCATGGCCATGTCTCCTTCCCGAGGCAGAGTCGGCGGACAGTTACTCATAGACAGGCTGTGGTCGAAGGGTTCACTGGGCTTTCTCCCTCCTCTGCTGGTGTTTCCTTCTCACACCCGGTGTGCAGCTGCCACTCAGGAGGCAGAGGCCCAGGGAGCAATCCCGGAGCCGGAACAGTGTCCCGGAAAGAAGGCAGCCATCTCTGCTTTGGTGGTGGTGCTTTTTACCAGTGCCGAGAGGGGCTGAGTAAGGAGGGCCTGTGGCTTCCAAGACTAACAGACACTTCCACAGCGTGAGAGTGTGTTGAAATCCCGAGGAGACATAATTTGCCTCCTTTATTCACTGGGTTACTCTCTTCTCTTGGCAAATCGTGGCAAAGGTTAGACTCCTCTTGGATCACATTGTCCTAGGTGCGTGTGAACAGATTCCGATTCTTATCTATACAACATGGAAATGGGGTACAAGAGAAATGCCACGGGCATTGGAGTCAGAGAAGCCTAGGGTTTACTTCTGCTTATCTCCTGCGTGAACTTGGGAAAAGGATCTTTGCTTTTCTGAGTCTTCATTTGCCCATCTGTAAAATGGGATGATAATGCTTTCGTCTTGGGATTTAGTGTGAGGTCCCAATGGGAGTAATGGGCTTAAACGCACCTGGGGCATAGGAGGCCCTCGAGAAAAGCTAGTCATTATCACCTTTCACTTCCTTAGGGCACGGCCTCCCCAAAAGAGTTTTACGCCAAGAATTCTCGATGGACGGAAGGACTCATCTCCGCTTCTAAAGCCGTGGGCTGGGGAGCAACCGTCATGGTGTAAGTGTCTGTCACTCCTGGGGCTTCTCAGCCCCACTTCCAACTCCCTCGGCCCATCCCAGACCACAGCCGAGGGAAAAAAGTCTGCTCCTTAGAAAAGAACTGTGGGTAGGGAAGTCAGCAGGACTGAAAGTTTGAAAGGGAGCCTGGGTCTCCTGGGGTTGCGCAGGGGTGGGGCCAACAGGCAGGCTAGGCTCCCTGAGTAGCCAGGGTGACGGGCGCGATCTGGAGGTGGGATCATAAGGGGTGGTGGCTGTCTGTGACATACTTTGTCTTGTCCCTTCCTGTCTACCAGGGATGCAGCCGATCTGGTGGTGCAAGGCAGAGGGAAGTTTGAGGAACTGATGGTGTGTTCTCATGAAATCGCTGCGAGCACAGCCCAGCTTGTGGCCGCCTCTAAGGTAGGACCTGTACAGGACCCCCTAAGGTCCAACGAGCTTGGAGAACACTCGGTCCGTGATGCCTGTCCCGAAAACAGATAATTTGTCCAGGGTCCAGGTAGATGAGGTCCCAGGTTAAAATTCTGACTCTCAAGGGTCTCTTACTACCCTCCTCTGAGAGCCTTTTCCTCAGTCAGCAAGGAGCCCCTCTGCCCAGCTCGCTGCCTGGGCTCCTCTTGGCTCTCATGGCTTCTGTGACAAGTGGCCTTTGAGGGTCCCAGCCGTGCCGACCTCTGATTAGCAATCAGGGCATTCAAGGAGCACTTAAATTAATAAATTAATAAATTTATTAATTTTAATTTTTTAATATTTAAATTTTTAATTTAATTATATAAAAATATATAAAATTATATATAAATATATATAAAGTATATAAAATATATAAAATATATAAAAATAAATTTAAAAAAAATTTTAAATTTAAATTAAATTTTTTAAAAATTAATACATTAAAGGAGCTCTTAAAAGGTCGGTGCCATGAGCTGGTTCCCTGGCTCGGCTCCGAGGTTCCACAGCCAGTGTCTGACTCTCCTGAAGAGCCTCCAGATTCGAACCATTACCCCCAACTAATCGTAATACAGAGCTTGTTACCGAAATCCGGCTGTGAGTTTTATAGTACCCCGGGGAGCGTCCTTATCATCCTTGTTTACTGTTGTCCCAAATTAATTTCCGCAACTGGAGCAATTTATCACAAGAACCAATAAAGCTAGAGTCTGAGGCTGTCAAGCAAATAAGCCAGGAGTAATTTTGCATATTAGAGATATGCCAGGAGCTGACCCTATAGGAGTATTTTTTTAAAGATTTATTTATTTAGGGATGCCTGGGTGGCTCAGTCAGGGAAGCATCTGCCTTCGGCTCACGTCATGATCCCAGGGTCCTGAGACTGGGGCCCACATCTGGCTCTCTGCACAGCGGGGAGCCTCCTGCTCCCCCAGCTGGTGTTCTCTCTCTATCTCTCTCTGACAAATAAAATCTTTTTTAAAAATTTTATTTGAGAGAGCGAGAACATGCATGTGCCCACATGGGAAACGGGCAGAGGGACAGGGAGAGAGAGAGACTTCTCCAGCAGACTCCGCGCTGAGCGTGGAGCCTGACGCAGGGCTCGATCTCCCAATCCTGAGATCACAACCTGAGCCAAAAGCAAGAGTCGGACACTCAAGGGACCGAGCCACAACAGGCACCCCTATAGGCAGCAATCTGGAAGAAGTCGATTAGCGACAGCAGCGGATCCCGTTACGTTTGTCAAGAACCGTTGGGACCCACTTATTTGACTCCATCCTTGCCTCTGTGTGCTGTGTGACCCTAACTCTGCTTGGTCCTGACAGGTGAAGGCTGACAAGGACAGTCCAAACCTGGCCCAGCTGCAGCAGGCCTCCCGGGGCGTGAACCAGGCCACCGCCACCGTTGTGGCCTCCACCATTTCGGGCAAATCACAGATTGAGGAGACAGGTAGCCTCTCCGAAGCAGTGCTTTTCGTATCCAACCCATTCAGCATTTCTTCACGTCCCATGTTTCCCACAATCCTGTTTCCACATTCTCTCTCGTTCATCTTCTCCACACGTGTGCTCAACTTTCTCATAAGGTGGGACGCCGCACACGCGTGCTGTTTGTGTCACCATAGCAACAGGCCTTAAGGTAGATTTTTCATTTAGCGATTTCTCTGGATTCAAAGGCATGACTCTTCAGGCCTGGTTGTCTCTGGGTGGGGCAGGACGGGGGTCGGGGGGGTGGGTGAGGGGTGGTCCAATCCTCGTCTATCCATCCCTGTCGATCCATCGGTGACTTTCTCACGTGTTTTGGGAACTAGTGAACCAAGCATTTCAGCAGAGCGCTGGCATCAGCTGCCTCTCGGCCAGGGGCGTCCCCCTAACGAGACCTTCCCTCTGCCCTTACAGACAACATGGACTTCTCCAGCATGACACTGACCCAGATCAAACGCCAGGAGATGGATTCCCAGGTAGGACTCCCCACTTCTGAGTCTGCTCGATCAGTTCCGGGTGACACCGACCCCAAGTATTATCCCCATGGAAAGAAGCCAGTGGGGGAGAGACTTGGGGCGGAAACAAACAGAGATGGACCCAGGAGCCCAGGAATGAATATAAATGACGCTTGGAAGGGACAGTGGAGATGGAGACAGATGGCGGGTTAAGATCGGAAACTTAACCCTTGCTCACTGGTCTTGAACTGGTGTCCCCCTCACTGTTACCATCAGGGATCTCCTAGCAGATGTCAACTAGCATTTAATGTCTTAACAATGAATGAGGTTTTTTTTTTTTTCTTTAAGTAGAGCTGACATCCAGTGTTACATTATTTTCAGGCGTATGTGTAGTGATTTGACAATTCTGTGTATTACTCAGTGCTCACCGCGATTAGTGTAGTCACCGTCTGTCACCATGCCACGTCATGACCCTGTTACTGACTACATTCCCAATGCTGTACCTTTCATCCCCATGACTTACTTATCTGGTAAAGAACCTCTTAATCCCCTCCACCATTCCCCCACCCTCTTCCCCTCTGGCCACCACCAGTTCTCTGTATTTATGAGTCCGTTTCTGTTTTGTTTTTGTTTTTTTGGCAATTAAAAAAAAAATCTGATATGAATTATTTCTGTATGACCTTGGTTTAAAGAAGAAAAACCAATTCACTGAGAACCCATCGAAGGCAATGCCCTTTCTCCTGGTTGTTTGTAAAGTTCTGGCATGTGGGAAAACAGGAATCAGTGGGATCCTGAAAAAAAGACCTGACATCCTTGTTCTGGAATTACTGATCCCAGTCTTGGGGTCAAGTCCAGATGGAGACTGTTAAAGTCTCTATATGGGTCACACAGCATTTTTAGAGTCACATGACCAAATACTGAAAGGTCTGAGGTCAGGTGTGAGTCCCCGCCGTCTACACTGTCGTGTTTACTGGGCTTCTCCAGTTCCTCTTGACTGTGGGTTCCATCTCTATGCTGATAAGTACCAGATTCTTCTCTCTGGCCTTGATCTTCTCCTTGAGCTTTGTGATTGTCCAACTGCCTACTTGATCTCTCCACTGGAGGCCAAATATGTCTCCAACATAATGAGTCCAAACCAGGGCTCCTGGTTTCCCTCCCACCTAGATCTGCCCAACTCCTTGTTTTCTCTGCCTCAGTAACCGGAACCCCCCCACCCCCCACCACACCCGGGTGCTAAGACCTAAGAGTCGTCCTTAGGTCCTCCCTTCCCCCTCTCCCTTCTACATCCAGTTCCCCAGCAGGTCCTGTCAACTCCCAACTGTCCAAGTCTGAACCTTCCCCCCTTTCCATCTCCCTAACCCAGCCGAAGCCACCATTGTTTCTCTCCAGAACTACTAGAATGCATACGAGGATTTGTATCCACGTGGTCCCATGGCAGGGCCAGGTGGCAGGGCAGTTAGGGGCACAGAATAGGAAAGGGCATTGCTGAGACAGGTCCAGCCCTGGGTTGATGGTTGGAGGAACTCGGGGAAAGGCATATGATGGGGCTCACCAGATCATCGCATCTCTCCATGTTTTACATTTTTCCATAACAAAAATTTTGAAAAGAAAAAAAGGAACCACCTAACTGGGTCTAGTTGCTTCCACTCTCCCCACCCCCCGCCACACACGGTTTGTTCAGGTTCTATGTATTTTTGAAAGCATAAATGACAGCATGTCACATCTCTACTTGAAACCTTGAGGTGGCTTCCCTTTCATACTTAGAGCTAACCCCCAAACTGCTAGCCTACTCTCATGACCCTCTCCCCTCTCATGCATCAGCCACATGGGCTCCTTTCTGTTCTTCCCTTACCCACCTGCCTGAATAGCGTTTGCTGATCACCCTCGGCCTTTATCACATGACCCTGTGTCATGTTCCTTACAGTCTGATCTGTTCTTGTCCATGAGTTTGTGTCTTCCCCCCGCACCACCATGTCTTCTGTGCACCACCATGTCTCCCCCACCTACCGCAGAGCCCGGGGTATGTGACAGGTGCTCAGCAGACATTTCTTGAATTAATAATCAGTAAAATGAATTAATGAGGAGTAGGGATAGCCAGGAACCAGCTTCTTCCTTGGTAAGACTGCTCTTTCCTGTATGATGATAACCCTAAGTTGTAACAGCCCCACAAAGATAACAGAAGCATCTGAGCTTGGCTGTTGCCTGGATTTCCAGGAGAGCGGGACTGAAGCAGAAGGGGAACTGGTTGGGAACACGCCACACAGATAGGCTAGATGTCAGAGCTGATTTCAGTGGGGGGTGAGATGAGCCCTACTCCCATTCAGGCGCTGGGGCTCTAACGCATCACCTCTAGGAGAGGGTCTGCATGAAGAAACGGAAGAGCCACTGGGATCGACGGGTGAATGGGAGAGGTTGGACGAAATCAGAGGAGGAGAGGGATTAAATCAAAGGGAGACCGTTGTCAGATCGCCGCTCAAAAGAAAATTCCATTCGTCCCCCAGGTCCGGGTGCTGGAGCTGGAGAATGACCTGCAAAAGGAGCGTCAGAAACTGGGAGAGCTTCGGAAAAAGCACTACGAACTCGCCGGTGTTGCCGAGGGCTGGGAAGAAGGTGGGCCTCTTTGAGGGTCTGCGTGGGCGCCATGAGGGGAGGGTGCGTGTAGGAGGGCCTTCCCCTCAGACGTGACAGAATGAGTTGCCCTTCGGGTCACTGACTCACAGTCTTGACTCACAGAGCACGATTTCTCTTCAGTTGGAAACAACCTTCGAGCCCCAAAACTGGTATAATTTGAGGTGAATTGAAAGCTTTTGTTGTCACCTCTCAAGACCTTAACGTTGACCAGTGGACTCGTCACTGGCCGCCATTCCCTTCCAGGCCCACTTAGCCTGGCGCGCGTAGAGTTGGGTAGTGAACAAACGGATGGCGGTCAGTGAAAGGCCAAGGGGATTGCAAGTCTGACTGACTAGAGCCAGCAGTGAGGAACAACGGTCCATGAGAGAAAGGGTCAGGGGCTAGAAATGGCCCAGAGAGGCATCGTCACCCAGAGTCTGCTGCTTTTCCACATGCCCAAAGTGGCCTACTCGATCACGACCAGGACTGCCTGTCCTTGTTGTCTTGACTGATTCTGGGAGCCAACCACAGTTGCATACCGGTCATTCCCGGACGCGTAACTCAGGGAACAGACGGTTATGAGCGTGAGGTATCGGGGAGCCCAACGTGGTGGCTGTTTTTATGGGTGAAATGAGTGTGTGCGCATGTGCAGTGCTACGAAGCAAAAATTATCGTTGTTAGGGGCGCCTGGGTGGCTCAGTGGGTTAAGCCTCTGCCTTCGGCTCAGGTCATGATCTCAGGGTCCTGGGATCGAGCCCCGCGTTGGGCTCTCTGCTCAGTGGGGAGCCTGCTTCCCCCTCTCTCTCTCTGCCTACTTGTGATCTCTCTCTCTGTCAAATAAATAAAATCTTAAAAAAAAATATTATCCTTGTCTTTCAGGAACAGAAGCCTCTCCATCTGCATTGCACGAACCGGTCGCTGGAAAAGAATAGAGCCACACTGACGCCCCACACGTCCGAGTGTAAATCTTGTGGCCCATCTGTGTGTGTGTTATTCCCCAGCCATGGCCTAAGCCTTGGGGTCGGGGTGGGGAGTCCCGGTGGCAGTCACACCACCCCCATTGTCCAGTGCCCAGGACCCCAGTGGCCTTCCACAGAGGAGTGGAGGACCAGAGCCACCCCTCACAGAGAGGACCTGCCTCCCTGCCCTGCCTGCCGTTGGACCCCTAGACTTTCAGTGTCCTCGTCCAAGGAGCTGGCTGTTTCCGCGATCCCTGGTTGGGGGGCGCCTCACGCCTTTTTTTTCTGTTTTCTCCTCAGCCTTTTCTGTTTCACCATCTGCACCAACTCATGAGCGTCAGAGGGCTGGCGGGGCTCCAAGCCAGGACGCCGCCCTACATCTGTGCCGACAGAACAGCAGGAGCGTCCCGGCAGAGCACGCCAAGGCAACTGTCCCCTCTCTTGGCAGTCCCATGGGTTTCCCGCTGCTTCTTACGGTGGTTGGTTGGGATTTCCTTTTTTTTTCCTTTTTTTGGGGGATTTCTTCTTCTAGTGTTCCCTCGTAGAGCCACCTCTCCCCAAGGGAGCACCCCTGGCGCTCGGAGCCATCGGGGGCCCCTACCACAGCAGATAACAGCAATGGTGCTGCTCAGGCTTCACCTTGGTGCTCCACGCCAGCCTCCGTGCTGAGTGTTCCGCTGAGCGAGTCTGGGTCAGACGAGCCCACTGCCCAGGGTGGGCCCCACTGCTGGGCCACACTCTTCCTCCAAAGGACAATTGGATTTTGGGAGGAGAGCCTCCCTCAAGTGAGAGAGCCCAGAGAAGCCTCTGCCCACCTTCCCGGGTGACAGGGGTGAAGAACGCGGGAAAGGAAGGAGGGTGCATGCGGCCCAGGCCTCAGGAGACCCCTGCTTTGGGAACTTTTGGTGACCAGACTGAAGAACTTATCCCGTGCTTTGCGCGTGCTGGTGAGAGTAGCCACACTTGTTCCCCCGGAAAGAATTTTCCGTGCCACCTCCCTTCAGACCCCGGCGGGACCCTGAGAGGGAGTGCGTGAGGGCTTTTCCAACTGGCCGCCTGGACATCCTCTTGAACCTGAAGAAGATAGTTCCACGTTCTACCTAAGGGAAGATCAGGCAAACTTCCTCCCGGCAGGAAAGAACCCTGTGCTTGGTTTGGTACCTTTAATATTTATTACTAACCTCCGTTCGGCAATGGCAGCAGCCTCCAGAGAGACGCTTTGAGCAATCAGGATTTGAGGTGTGGTGATGGCGGGGCTGCATGGCTGCCCCAGGTCATCGGTTTTCAAGAATCAAACACCAGGCCAAGATGCTTCCCAGTCTGTTACCGACCTGGGCCCTGAGGCCAGCGGGTTCCTCAGAGCACCTGGGTCAGGGAAACTGAGAAAAGGGGGACCACTGACTCTGAGCCCTTCCCGCCACACGACCTGGGCCCTTGCTGCCCAGACAGGATGAGGACAGAAGACGCATTAACAACTTCCCAGAGGCGGACAGCCTGACAGCACTCGTCCACCTCCGGACAGACAGACCCCAGCATTTAAGTGACCTTCCGATCTCGGACAGTGTCTTCCTTCCTTATCTGTAGCAACTCTTAGGTAGAAGCCAACAAGCACTTCCCAGGACCTGTCCCAAAGGAACATTGCTAAGTGTTGCTACGTGACAGGTGGCGAGGTTCCTGTTTGATCACTGTGAATCAACCCTCGTCCTTCCCCCACCTCCCACCCCTCCCTCTCTGTGCATTTTCTAAGTAGGCCACTCAAAAACCAGTCTCCCATTAGCTCGGATTCCGAGACTCAGACAGGCGATCTCCACATTGGGCTAATAAAGAGGGGTCAACAGCAAATGAGCCGTCTTATGCTTAATACTTCTTTGCGCTCAGCGGTTTTCCATCTGAGGCTCAGAAGAAGTGGGGGGGGCCCTGGCCCAGTTGTACCAATGAAGCCAGTCAGTGTGTTCTCAGAGTGGATCAGCATTTCCACAGCGGACTGGTCCTCCCTTCCAGAATCTCGGCCGAACTGCTATGCTCTGAATTACCCATGGTGAAAAAAATCTGCTGTATCGGGCTACTCTGGGATGCCCCAAGTAACGCTTCCTCCAAAAAGAAGCCACAGGGATTGTTAAAACCTTGGTGGACTTAGCCGGAGTAGTAAGACAGGGAAGAAAGCACCCGAAGTATCCTTCAGATGTGGCATAATTACGTTTGTCCTCACTCGCCTTAGGAGCTGGCCCATCTTCTAGCCAAAATCCAATTGTCCTACCTTGGCTTTTCTAAAAAACGAGGGTGTTTATACTTGGTGTGAAATACTTGATTCAAACGGGGATGACCTCCTCAGGCTAAAAATGAACATCACAGCCTTTTAAAGTCACCACTGAGCTTCATGAGTGACTGAAGTCCCGTGGATCCGTGTAATTGGGTCACACAGCAAGGCAGAACAACAAAAGAATGGCTTAGGACTGACAAGAGATCAAAAGACAGCCATATCCCTTATTTAATTTTGTAATACAGTTGCTCTGATATCCCTAGAGTAAGGATATGTGTGTACATAATAAGAAAAAAAAAAAAATAGAAAATACCTGCCTTTTGTGAGGTTCTTTTATATCTGAGTCAGAGGAGTTTAAATTAGACTGTAATTTAGATTGTTGGCTTGTTCTGCCGCTGACAGCAGGATCCCTAGGGTCCCACCTGAATCTGAGTCCCTAATCCAGTGTCCAGAACGTCCAGAGCTTGGAAGTGTTTGAGCTGCCAAGTCAACATCAGGGTTAACCGGGTACCATGGGGGTCACAGTGCATGTCATTCATCCTCAGATCGGTTTGCTTTGGCCTCTCACCGAGGAGGGGCTGGTCAATCCTGAGCTTGCACCTGGGAAATGCTCACTTCTCGGCCAGCTCCTTAGTCTGGAAGGGTGTCCTGGCTCCACTTACCCTGGTCTTTAGCCACCGGTCAAGTTCTCGCTACCTTCTACCACCTTTGCAAGCCTCTGGAAATCCTTCCCACCAATGAAAGCCTTCGATCCCGGCATTGGCCTTTCAGCCAGACCGGCTCTGCTCTGTCTCCGCTGTCCTCGGTCCCCCGGAGACCGTGCCATCTGTAGCCTAGGCAACCACCACCGTGGACCTGCCAGCCTTCGCCGCAGCAAACCGAGCCGGCTGCCTGCTGCTCACATCCCCTTTGTCTCCCAAGGTCAGACCAAATGCAGGATCAGCAACCCACAGCGGTGGCCCAGGCTCTCGCCCCCAGGAGCCAAAGCAATGGGAAATCATGGGTTAGATGCCGTTGGGTCCGATTCTGAGAGTAGACCATTTTCCAGACATGTCTTTCAGGTGACCCTCAACTACCTCAGTTTGAAGGCCCCAAATGAAGCTGATTATTACTAGGGACAAACCGAGGGGGTTCCGATAAACCTTACTGGTAACTTATAACAAACTCTCACATTTAGGTTCGCAGGGATAGGTTGGGTTTGTTCTTCTTCTGTTCTGATTTTTAACCTTTTCCCCCAATTTTCCATTAGAATAGTTCCTAGAAATGGATTTCATTTTTCACCGAGTGCCTACCTTCCCAGGGCAGGTAGCCACTGGCTTTTCTTCCCTTCCAACAATACTTTTATTATGATATTAAGACCTTTCTTTGTATAATACATTGCATCTGTGTTTTCAATTTTTCAAATAAATACTTCAACCTGGCAATGGAGAGTAGTGGTGCTGACTGACATCCAACGTGTTTTGGGGTCGGGGTTCCAGTGGAAAGCCTACGCATGTGTCCTGGTGTTCGCCGAATCCCACTTAACCTCTGCACCTCTGGGAGTAGGTCTTAAAGACAGGAATACAGCTCCTGTAGAGAACCTGGTTTGCCCTCCTTAATCACATTCCATCCCCTGTACACGCCTGTCCTTGGGAACGATCAAACACAACATGCCAGAGTGGTCCATACTGTCCTTCATCTTCACGCCCAGGTCGGTGCTTAAAATCTGCCATCTCGGGCTCGGATACACCTTTCTCCACACTCAAGATGGAAAAGTAACCGGTCACCTTAAAATTGGGACAATTGCTGCTCAGGGGCAGGAGCTGCCACTCCTAACGGGATTCAGAGCAAGTCCTGGCTACCAGAGGATCTGCAGGGGGAGCCGATGAATGGGCGTGGCTAGGTGCATGGAGATTTCACCTGCGGCATGTTCTGCAAGCTCGTGCTGCTGGTGCATAAAGCCAAGGGGACATCCAAGGGATGGAGGGAGGTGGGGAAGGCCCAGGGAGGATAAGCAGGAGAATTGCCCAAATGAGTCACCAAGTAAGGAGAGAAGGACTGCCCGGCGGGAAGATGGTCCGGATAAATACAGAAATGGGGACTGCTTGCCTGCAGCTGGGGTTTTCTGTTCCCTGCAGCAGAAAGCAAGGGTGAGCCTGTTCCATCTGAAGAACCACTGATGAATGGACAGACTGTCCCCTACAAGACCAACATTTGAAATAGATTTTGAAAACTAAATTGTATTCAATTCCTGTGTGGTTGAAAATGACCAATATTACAACAGGCATGTCCTCTCGAATTCTGTCAACTCAGCAAGAATTGCGGAGTTTCTATTGTATGCAAGAGCCTGTAGGGGGAGAAAAATAAGCAAGAGCTGGTCCCTCCTTAAAGGACCTTCCAAACTTGGAAGGAAGGTAGACAGATGCATTAGAAACTGTAGTATATATGTGAAAAAGATGGACACTCAAGAAATCCAGCAGTAGTCAAAGGAAAGAGAAGAATGGGGCAATAGCTTTAGGAGGTAATGGTATCAAGAGAAGTGTTTTTAAGAAAGAAACATGCTTCAAAGCTAAAACAGAGAGGAGATAGAGATTAAAGCATGGCAGAACGAGGAGGAAGGCTGTAGCACTCTGCTTGAGTTGCGGATTTATTCATTCCTCCTACAAATTCTTATTTCACATCCACCGCATTGAAAGGCATGAGGGATACAGTGCCAGGGACACATCTGACCTCTGGAAGCTTGCAGTCAAGTTGGAGCAGCTGGCACAGAACCAGTGGGATGTAGAACCCAAAAGGTATGAAGAGGAGGACACAGCAAGGGAGCTAGTACGTTCAAGCAGGTCAGGGGAAGCTTCCATCAGCAAATGACACTTAAGCTGAAACCTGAAGAATGTAAAAGTTGGCATTGGGGCAGGGGCACCTGGGTGGTTCAGTCAGTTAAGCACTTGACTTTGCTTTCAGGGTCCCGGGATCGAGCCCCATGTCAGGCTCTGCCCTCAGCGCAGAGTCTGCGTGTCCCTTTACCTCTGCTCTTCCCCCTGCTCACTATAAAAAATTTATAAAAATTTTTAAAAACTCTAAAAAAAAGTTGGCAGTCGGGGAGGGAGAGGGGAAAAATACTCCAGGCAAAGCTAAAGGCATTGCGAGAGACATTGGAACACTGATCATGACAGATGTCTGTGCTGACAGAGGGTGGCCAAACTCAGTGCCAAATCCTAGAAGGTCGCAAGTGCCATTGGAAAGATTGGAGGCTTTATGGTGGGGATCGTAAGCAGGGGTGTGGTGTGACACTAGCTATCAGGTCTCATCTAAATAACCTCGATACACTTCTCTGTCTCCCACCTACCCAGCTCTGCCCCCTGCCAAACCATTCTCATTCTGCAGCTCAAGTAACCATCATTCCTGAAGTTACATCTGTTCTTGTCACCCTCCCTTCTTAAAACCTTTCAGTGCCTTCCTATTGCTTTTGCTAAATTGAGGTAAGATTAACATAAAATTAACCATTTA